TTTGGCCAAGAAGTTTTCTAATTGAAAATGGCGTAGCAAAATTTAATTTGAAAACTTTCACTTGCCAGGCTGACCCACAACGACAGCGACAAAGACTCGCCGCCAGATTTGTGAAAAATCGAGAGGAAAAATCCTTGCGAGAGAGAGAGTGAGAGAGAGAGCAAAGTGCTTGGACATTTTTCGCACTGTGCCCGGGCGAGACCCGTGTGGCGCCACACACTCGCTTATTATTAATCAGCCTGCGATAGAATGTTGAGGAACATTTCGTGCTCTTTCATTCGTGCCGGGCCCCTTCCTTCAACAGGGGCCAAAAAATATTTCGCCTAATTGACTCGCGAACATTTGTTGCTGCTGCGACTGGGCTGCCAGTCGGTGGCGCCTCTCTCTGTGACACTGCCATAAACATTTGAAATTATTTTTACCATTTCTTTTGGCCTCTTTGGCATCTTAATTTCTGCGCTGTGCTGTGCTCTGCTGCTCATTTTTTTTTTTCCAAAAACGGACAAAGTGCGCACAAGAGTCGTGTATTCTCGCAGTCGGCAAGTTAGTTAGGTTTATTTTCCCCCAAAGATGGTGGAAACAGGAACACACACACACACATCAACAGTAAACACAAAGGAAGAGAGTGGGAGAAAGTTGGATGGAGAGAGAGAGAGAAAGAGAGACGGGGAGAGAAAGCCAGAAAAAGTAAAGTCAAAGGCTGAACTAAGAAAAACAAAACATTCTGGCATTTCTAATTATAAGTAAATATTCATACTCACATTACCACCATGTACCGTACTGTACATACATATGTGTGTGTGTGTGCGTGTGTGTAAGGAAAGCACTTTGAAAGTTATTTACACACACACATAGACTCTCAGAGAGTAAGAGGAGCAGCTGTGTGTAGTATGCTCTATGCTGTATGCTGTATGTGGGGGAGGCAGTCATGTTGGCAGCCCGTAATGCATGCTAAAAAGTGTGAGAAAGTACATTAGGGTCACTGACGACTTTGACTACACTACAAAGAGGCGTGGCATGGGGCGTGACCCGGCAGAGGCAGAGGCGGAGGCGGCGGCGGCGGCGGCGGCAGAGGAACGATGCCTGTCCGCAATGGCAACCACTTTCGCTCTCTCAACTTGCAACATTTTGTGGCCATGCAGGGTCGAGTGTGTGCGAGAGTGTGTGTGTCTCTCTGTGTGTTTGTGTTTGCCATAATGTACAATTTAAATGTAAACAATTTGCCCCAACGCGGCATCAGTAGCAGTACCAGCAGCAGCATCAGGAAAAAAAGTGAAGGAAAAGTGAGGGAAAGGAAATGGAAAAGCAGAGTCCAGCCAACAGAGACAGGGCACAGGAACAGCCTGAACTCGGGCCGAATCAAATATTTAGAAGCCGGCAGTGGACCCATCGAGGAGCGTCAAGCCAGAGGTGGAGTCGAAGCCGCAGCATATGGCAATGTAGCATCTGCTGCTACTGCTACTGCCGCTGCCGCTGCCGCTGTGAACAGTGAAACTCAAATATTTATCTTGGCAATTGCCTGTAATTTGGTTTAGTTCCGACTTGGCACCGTTCTAAATAAACTTTTCATTAGCAGCACCTGGGCGAATCGAGTCGGCTTGTCGGTAGGGGTTGGCCTCCGTGGCCCAGGTACAGATATACATTTCTGCAGAGCCAGCACTAATTTTGTTTAATTAACCAACTTATATTTAGCGTAATTGACTTCCATGTGCGTTTGGCTAATGTTTCAATCAAACTCTAACCAAACAGAAGCCGCTTTGGCCACAAAAACAGAGGGAGAGAGCGAGCAATTGTTGACTGCTTCATTCTCATGTTGCAACAAGCAACAAAGAAAACAAAGCCACAACCGCAGAAACAGCAAAACCACAACGCGCACAGTGCGTACGACGAGTATGTGTATGCGTATGCGTATGTGTAATGTGTCAACCCAAATGTCCCACATCCACAGTCGATCCGAGCCGAAGCGAATCGAATCGCGCGACACTTTCGCTTTAAATATCAATTGAATAGAACAATTTGGCCAACACATATTTAAACCAGAGATTGCGTAGGTATATTGAAAGATTGCCAACATTTGTGCATGTTTTTCGTGTTAGTTCTATCATCTATTTATTGCCAGTGGCACGACACGGCACACTTAGTGGACGGACGGACGGACGGACGGACGTACAGCCTTTGAATTTTCAGTTTATTTAGCAAAACGCTTTGTTGATTTTCTATTAGTGTTTTTGCAACTCATTTTTCTCGCGCTGGCAGAACAGTGGGTTTCTGTTTTCCCTAAAGTTCATTGGACTCTCGGACGATAGCCAGCCGGCATTTTGCATTGAATGAAAATTACAAAACGTGATTCCTTTAAGGCGAGAGAAAACCCTCAGCTTTAAGCAGCAGCCGCAGCCGCAGCCGCAGCCGAAGCCGCAGCCGAGGCAGCAACAGCCACAAACCGCGTGCAGGCCACTGCATAATTAATGCATCGTTGTCTTCAGGCTGTGGCCTCGCAGGCTGGATGCTGTTACGTGTAACTAGGACTGCTGTAGCTGTTATTCCGCCGTGTTCATGGCCCTAGCCAAATGAGGCACAAAACACTGTTGGTTGCGCCCATCAGGGCTTCTAGTTTATGCATGCAAAGTAACACGCTGCGTATACCCAATGTTCGCAGTAAACTGAAGGCTTTAAGAGGCCCGAATCGAATATTAGAAGGCCCCATATGGCACGAGTACGCGTATGCCAAGGGGGAAATCAAATGCAACTTAATTATCGTTAAATGCACTTCCACATATTCACTTTATTTAAAAATTCATTGGAAAACTCTCACTCTACATTTCCTGCTCGTCGGAAGCATTGTCTTAATTGGAATTAGAAAACAGCCATAAACACTCAGCGCTCTCAACGCATCCGATGGAAATTAATTGATCCGTGTTGAGGGCCTGTCAGATGCATCGATGCACAATGATGCATGATGAACTACGTGGAAACTCCCTCTCAGGCAGTAAAAATTCCGATTCCGATTCGGATTCTCAATGGGAGAGCTTACCTCGCTCCCCATCTGTCTTCCGCTGCGCTATCTCTGGGTGAACTAAATTACAGAAATACAGGCTAAAAATATCCACGAATAATGCGGTGTGTCAAAACAAGACATCAAAAACGAAAGAGGGGGCGCAGGTAGGGCTCAATGCTCTCGGGGAAACCTTAATATTTTGGGGCCCTGATGGTGGCATGGCATACATCAAAGACGACGTCGCTGGGCTGCCAATAAAAGAATTAAATGTAAGCGTAAATCATTAAAAATGAGCAGACGATTGCCGCTAACAACTAGGCAAATGACAGCGACAATTATAAATAGATTGCTGGAACTCTAGGGAGAGTGGATTGTGTGGAGTGTGGCACATCAAACGAGGCCCTAACAGATCTTTATGAGTTGCTTAATTGGTCCAGATAGGAGACCAGGAAACAACTGCAGCACAAGGCCTTTCGTTCTCTCTATCCGTGTTGGAATTGTATGGCACACTGCCATTTGCCTAGCGTATCCTGTCCCATTCATAAGGATTTACGGCTAGGTGTCGTCTTCTTGCACGGCCACATATTTGCTCTGCTTGCCGCAAGCCAAAGCGTTGACAAATTGCAGCAGAGGCAGCAGAGGCAGCAGCAGCGCCAGAAGCGTAGCCATGTTTGCCATTTTGCTCAAGTTGTCAGCGCGAGTGCACGCCGGAAAGTATGCAACGCAATATAACAAATTGCTTGCGGCTTTGTGGGGCAACGAACATAGCTTAGAGGCAGAAGCAGAGGCAGCCAGGGTGTGAGCAAAAAAGAATCCGGTCCAGAGCACAAAGAGCGAAAGTGTCGAACAAATTTCAATAATTTGCTAATACTTTTTGCAGCTTACGCGGCTGCATACATTCTGGTTTCACCCGTAATCCTGGCCAGAACTCGGATCGGAGGGGATGCACTCCACTTCACTCCACTCCGCTGTTGTGTTTCGTTGTGTGGCGCTGCTGTCGAAAACATTTGAACATCAAAGTGCCACGACAACAGCACCAAAAAAATGCCTTTCAAAATTGTTTGCGAAATGAAAGCGTTGCCGAAACACTGGCTGGCCTCTGGGATGGGGATTGAGTTGGGTGGTAAAACCGCTTAAAATTCAAAGTTGAGTGGATTGAGTAGGTCGTGGGTTGGAGCAGGGGGATGGAGTCCGTCCAACTTAAATTGCATTAAACAGAGCGGCAAAATATTGCATGGAATATATTTAAGAGGACTTTAAGGCTGAGAGCCAGGCCAAAGAGCACCCAGCACAGATGATAACTAAATAGGCAGCCCCGCGACGACGGCCACATTATTCTTTGCTGTGGGACTTCTCGGCAGGCAGGCTGAACAGAGTACAGAAATAAAAGAAGCCGTTCAGGCGGAAACAATGTGGAAATTTTACAGGTTGCTCTGTCAAATAAAATAACACAAAACAAGGTCCACGGTACACGGTACACAAACAAAAAATTCACAAGAAATCATTTTTCACTTAAAAAAAATATAACTGAAGGAGGAACCAAAAAAAAGAAACATCAAATTCAACATCGGCAAACGGCAAACGACGTCGCTGGTGACGGCAACCAACCGGCAACCGGAAGCAGGGCACAACGACAAGAAACATTTGGTGGAGGTGAAAGTGGGTTGGATATGGGTGGGGCTCTGCCATGAATCGCAGGCGGAAGCTTTGTGTTAAAATAACAAACAATCAGCCGAATCATGCAGGAAGTGCAAATAATAAATAAATATATCGCGCAGAGAGAGCTATTTCTTCTTCAATATCAACCTGGCAGTTTCGATTGCTTTTTCGACCACCCACACACCCGTCCATCCACCCAACCAACCCACCTCATCCAGTGGGACGGGCGTCAGTTCTCATGCCTTGCCAATATAGAAGGAAGCAGAAATATATATATGTATATACTACGTTGTACGAGTATTAATACTAAACTTTCATCTTTTGCCATCTTATTCCCTGTTTCCAGTACCCGCCCGATTGGTCTGGGCCGCCCTGGGCAAGACGGTGGAGCTGCCCTGCGACCTGACGCCACCCACGCCCCAGGACTCGGTGAAGCTGCTGCTTTGGTTCAAGGACACCACCGGCATACCTTTGTACAGGTGAGTAGGACGACAGCAAACTAGCTTTTTGGCTCAGGGAAAAAGGGGCAGGGCACAAGGTGCGAGCAAGTGGTCCGTAATCATCCACTCCCTGGGCCTACTAGACAGCCATCCATCAAAAGCGTAAAATAATCGTCCACATCCCTTTTCTTACACTTTACGTGCGAGTTTTTTCCCACTTTTTTTCATTTGGCGTGGCGGTTCTCTCTTTTGCGCTCCTGCGCGTTTTTGGCTTATTTCCGGCAGCTGCCAGGACCCCAGGACGGACCACATGTGCGTCTGTGTGTGCCAGCGAATGTTTTCGGGGAAAGGATGCGCCCCGTCATAATCCACTTTGTTATAATAAATGTAAAGCACATCCGATTACAGCTGTCGTTGCTAAAGTGTAGCAAATTTTCACGCATACACGCATCGGCCACGCCCCCCAACTGATGGGGGAGCATACGGATTTTTATAAATTTACGCTGATAAATTTTCAATATAAATTGCGGCAAGAACGGTGTGTCCTGCATGCCAATTAGCAAGTGGGTAATGGCTTCGACTTTGCGTGCCACAGCCCCGGGAACGGGAACACTCATTAGAAATGGGAGAGGGTGGCAGGACAGGACAGGACAGAACAGGACAGGATCTGAGTCGGCCCCATGCACGTGAAGTGAAGTGGCCGGCACTCGATAATCATAAACAGTGCAGTGCAACAGTGGTAGCAGCAGCAGGGCCCACATCGGTGCCCAGAAATAAACAACAGAGTAATTTGCTAAAACAGCAACAAATTACTGCAATTTGCGCAAAGCTGGCAAAGTCGCAACGTGGCACGAAGCAACAGAAGAGCCAGGGGCAGTGGATGTACTCGCAGTAGCACCCTCAAATGCACACAGACAAACGAACAAACACTCAAGTCGAGTCGAGTCGAGTCAAGTCGAGTCGAGAGTCGACTGCCAGGATGATGGCTCATGGCTCATGGCTCATGGTGTGCAAATTGAGCGTCATTTTTTATGGACGTAAATTATGCCAGAGAGAGAGAGAGAGAGAGAGAAAGAAAGAGGCGGATGGGTGATGGTGGAAGGTGCCGCAACCTGGGCTTCGGGACGCAACTTATGCTCTCTGCATATGTTTATTTATGACATCTAATAATCGCTACATGCCCCGCCCATCCACTTAAACATTCGACTTTCTCCTTTTGTTTTCGCACAGCCTGGACTCGCGTGGCGGAAATGTGAAATTGGCCCCACATGCGGCCATAGCTAGCGATCTGGGGCAGCGTCTGTTCTTCAGCATCGGCGATAATCCCAAGGATTCCCGTCTGCAGATAAACGATGTTAAGCCCGAGGATGGCGGCGTCTACCGGTGTCGCATTGATTTCTTCAACTCGCCGACGCGCAACTTCAGGCACAACCTGACACTAGTTGGTGAGTGCCTGCCGCAATGAATTCATGGCTCCTCGAGTGGCAAATTGATTTCCCCCATTCCCTCCCTTTACTTCCAGTTCCGCCCGAGGAGCCGCGCATCTTCGATGCCCAGGGCAAGGAGATATCACAGCTGGCGGGGCCGTTCCGCGAGGGCTACGAGCTTTTTCTCTGCTGCCAAGTGAGAGGAGGTGAGTACAACCGCCTGCAGGTTGCAGGTTGCAGGTTGCAGCTGACATTCCGTACGCATCGCCCATTGTGTGTTTGCGGTTTAACCCACTTATCTTGCCGCCTGGCAGGGTGGGCCGTCTTTGCCGGAGCCTCAATCCGACCGCAGTCTGCCGCATTATTTGCTCTCCCACCGAGAGACACTTTTGTCAGCCCTACGGCTGTTGATTGCCAGCAGCTGGATGTGATGCCCGCATTGGCCCGACCGACACATGCGAGTGTCACTCATAACGCTCTGTACTTATGTGTGTGTGTCTTCTACCTTCCACCTAATTGCAGGTCGTCCTCCGCCCAAGGTCACCTGGTGGCGCGACGACACAGAGCTAATCGGCACCAGCCACACCTCCGTGGAGGAGGGAGCCACCGTGATGGTTAATCAGCTGCTGATTGGCACCACCACCCGCGACTTCTACGGGGCGCGCATCGAGTGTCGTGCTCAAGGCACCCGACTGGTGGATCCGGTCCGGAAGGATGTCACCGTGCAGGTTCACTGTAAGTCCACCCCATCATGAAATTCACGGAAAATAAGTATAATGCGCGTCTCTACCTTAGTGAAACCCGTTCGCGTGAAGATTGTCACACCCAATGATCTACTGACCGCCGGCCATCCTGTGCCCATTCGCTGCGAGTCCTGGGGCTCGTATCCGGCGGCCAAGATTGCCTGGCTGCTGGACGGCGAGCCCATACGAAATGCCGAGGTTACTGTGCATAGCGACAAAGAGGTAAGTACTGCCCCATGGTGTATTCTATATGGCATTGGCAGGCATAGTCTTTCTGCCAAATTGGCCTAAATTGTCTGCTGATTTTCGGAGTAGGGCACAAGAAAGTTTTTGTATTCTGTATTCTTGTTACCCCGTTCCCAGGACAAGGAAACTTTCCAGCGTTTGACATTTGATAGTTGGCCGCAGTGCTGCTGCAAACACTTAAACTTACACACACTCGCCTCGCAGTTACTCTCGTATAACTTTGGAGGCAAGTACGCTGTGCTGTGCTCTGCTGTGCTGTGCTGTGCTGCACCGCTTAATAGCATCAGAGGCGGCGGCCACAACAGCAAGGGTGACCCCTCTGAGGCGACCACTGGGTGACCCCAAAAGCAGGGAAAACTTTTGCAGCCACCGCAGACAAACAGAGCAGACAAGAGCTGACTTCCCTCCCACACTGGCTTCACCCTTGGCTTCTTTGATGAACTGCACTGCACAGAAAGTTTCAACTTAGCTCCAAGCTGCACAAATTTGCACTCCACAGTTGAACATTGATTCCTGCTAATATGCGAATTTTTATTTGGATTTACTTTTCTCTTGGCAATGATCTGAATTTTTTTGCCCATCTGGTTCGCATTTATCAGTTTGCATGCAACACGTCTCTCTGTTGAAGCATGTGAATGGGTAGGACAGCTCAGTTTGTGGCATCCATTAGTGCGCTCTGCCACTGCCTTTTTTTGGGTTTCTAATTATGCCATGTAAATGGATAGAGACATATCGGATCTGGGGATGGGGCTGGTGCTGGGGCTGTCAAACGTCGCCAGACATTAGTCAACTCGTGCATAGCCGATTCCTGGTGCATGGCCATCCCAGAGATGAAGTGCATGGATAGGGATAGGGATGACAGAGAGAAGCCCAGCAGCCACTACTCGTTATACTCCATCTCAATGTCCTGTCTCTGGCCTCCGGCTTCGGCTCCGGCTCCGGCTTCGATTGTTGCCAAAACGATGCCTGACTCTGGCTCTGTCGTAACTTAATACCTCGTTTGGGTGCATGGGTTGCCACTGCCACTGCTGTGTTTCTGCTCGATCTGATGCACCAGGCCAGGACAGTCCCGGCTCAGCTCGAAACTCGACTCATTATTTTGGAAACCCGAGTAGAGGAATGCAAGTGGATAGGCCACAGCAAAATCCACAGATAACGAATCGATGCTCATCCTAAAAAGGAAAACAGGTCATACGACGTTTTAAAGGACACATCATTTGGGACAATTTTCATCTTTAATTTTGTGCAATTTTCGGCCAATTACATTTGCATTTTTCTTTCGTAGGATGGCAACATCACGACCAGCATCCTGACACTGAAGGTGACATCGGAGAACGACAACGCCGAGCTGACTTGTCGCGCCACGAATCCTTGGTTCTCCGGCGGCGCCATCGAGGACAAGCGTATCATACGTGTGGCATGTAAGTAGAGTACACATATAGATTTGCTTCTGCTTCTTCTGCCCGACAGGTGAGCCTGCCCTGCCCAGCCCCTTCAATTATGTCCACAATGCAGGCACCGAGGGAGTCAGGTCTGCTTTGTAACTGGGCCTGCCTTTGGGTCTGGGTCTGGCTTTGGGTCTGGGACGAACTCTGGGGCCATGGCCAGGGCAGTGCCAACGATCAGCTTTGGTCTATCCTTTACACAAACGGCCCAAGGCTTAGTCATCTTTGTGTGGGTGCGGGTGTGTGTGTCTGAAAGCACTCTCCTTCGAGGAAAGTCCAATTAGAAGCATATTAGGGCCAGAGCCAACATAATTTTATTACGGGAAAAGGAGCTCGAGCTGGAGCTGAGGCCAAGCCGCTTCGGGGCCATCTTCCATCCACCTGTTGGCCATGCCATGCTCCCCCGCTAAGCTGCTTATAAAATGCAGTCGAGTCCTTGGGCTGTCGCCGTCTTCGACTTGCCTTGATTAAATTTTCACTGTTATGTTTCTATTGCTCATTTTTTGTTTCCTGGCATGGCCTCCATAATATTTGCAACATCCGCTTCCGGCTTCCGTTTTACATTATTCCGACCTTCTCTGCTTCTGCTTCTAGTCCTCCTTCTCCTCTAGCTATGACGAGGAGGGTGAGAAAAAAGTAGTGAGTGCTCTCTGTATTACCTGCACTCAAATCAGGCCGGAACCAACCTCGTCATCTCCAGCCGAGTTCATTTTGGTTTTCATTTTGTGCGGCTTTTTAATAATTCACCCATAAACGTCAGCAATTTTTTTCCTCGTCTGCCCAGACCCCGCCATTGACATTTGCCCCAAACTTAAGACGGTAGAACGGGAGGCATAGTTTTTTCCACCCTCCCGGTCCATGGGGACTGCTTGGGGCCAAGTGGCGCCGACAGTCTCCGACGCGTATTAGATTTTTACAACCGTAACTAATAGTCCCATTTGGCGTGTGGTCAAGAGGCCGTGTAGCAGCAGCAGGATGAGGCCCAAAGGATGTGTACAGGCGGCCCACAACAAAAGGCGCCTGGCCTGCCATGCCCTGGCAGCTGGAGTTAAGTACATTACGCAATGCCGTCTGGATCGGACAGGGCTGAGATTGGGGTGGGCGAGGACCAAGGCTGCTGTGTACCAAGAGTTCACCTTATGAGCCATTGCCGTTTATTATTTTGACTTTTATTCAGCAATTTGTAGCGCTCATTAGGTTGGATGCCCCGCACTTACTAATCCACTGTACTGTGTTCCCACTCCAATCTACAATCTTCTTTCCTCTCTCTCTCCCCACAGATCCACCCACCGTGTCGGTGCACTTGGCCAACGAGGATCCCAGTCGTGTGGTAACGCGCGCCGAGGGCCAGAATGTCACGTTCAAATGCCGTGCGGATGCCAGGCCTCCGGTTACCAGCTACTCCTGGTTCAAGAATGTAAGTACTGATGTGGCTACTGATTCTGTCCCCTACCACCACCTAACGACCAGCAGCTGACGTGTATCAGCAGACACTTTTCTTATTTTTTTTTCGAAATTTTATTATCAATTTTTGGGGCTCCGCAGGCCCGATGCGTCGGCATTCCTGCGGCATCATAAGCAGACACTTTTGCGGTTTAATTTCATTTGCCAGAGCTGCCACGCCGAGCTTTAAGACCGCCTCGAATTACTCGGGGGAGATGGCCTTGTGGGCAGCGTGGAGCTCCGGCTAACAAATGCTGGACTCATTTTTCAAATGTCTTATAATTGGCTCATGATGTCCATTGAAGTCCATTCGTGTCGCAAATTATTTAACTATTAATCATGCGACAAATAAACCGAAAGAGATTGAGATTGTGTAGGGATCTTCGCAGGGATCGCAATCGGAGGAGCCTTTGTTGGCGTGGCTTTGACTTTGTCTTGGGTTTTTATTATTAAACCGCATGATTCTGACATCCTTTGACAGTTTTGTGCACATGGTCACATCATCATTTTTCATAACTAGCAAAAACCATAAACCCAAGTTCATATTTTCTCTCTTGGTTTTACTTTTGCTTTTCTTATTCTTTTCCTTTCTTATGCCGCTGCCCTGTCCTCTGGTCCGAGGCATTTAACAAATTGCCAAAATCGTTTTGTCAGGGGACGAGGACGAGGCTGGCCACAAGAAAACTTCTCTTCTCTTCTCGGAATTCGGGGCACTTTGATTTTTGATTTTCAGTTTTTCCATTTTCCTTTTGTCCTGCTTGGCATTAATAGGCAGAAAGAAAATTTTTTGCTGGAATTATGAGAAACGAAGCGCCAAATGTGCGCAAAAAAGTTCCGCCAAAGAACTGCCGCAAACTTTGTCACTTCAGGGAGGAGTGCGAGTCCTTTGACGACAGTTGGACATAGAGAATCTCCTTATCGGCTTCGGCTTCACTCAAACTTTTCGCTTGGTCAACTTTAAAGTTTCCTCAGCTGCGGATAGTGGTCTTAATATTAATAATAAAAATGAAAATGAAATGCCAGGAAGGAATTAAATAAAACGACACACAGAGTTTTGTTACGCTACAAAATGGATCGTTGCACAAGGGCCAGGCCAATGCAATTATAATATTGCTCTCCATCAGCGCTCCACTGCGTTTTAATGAATTTTGCAAATAATCAAATGATGCAACATGGCCAATTTGTGGCGGATCCATAACGCGACATGCAACAGGACGTGCCACAGGGAGTCACACACTCAGTGTAGCTGTCAATATTGTGCGATGCGTGGGCGCGGGCGTGGGCGTGGGCTTGGCGTCGGCGTGCTGCATCCTACTTAAGCCATTTAAATTGCATTATTATTATGAATTAATTAAATTCATGCGCAAACGTCAACCTGGATGCTGCAACTAAATATTTAATCGAATTATTTCGAGAGTCAAGCTGCGTTAATGCAGCATTTACATTCGCTTCCGCCTGGAATCGCATCACTTGTCGGCAGCAGTTTCCATTTCCAAATACTTTTGCACACTCGTCCTTGTCCGAGTGCGCCGAATGCCAAATGACAAATGCCAAAACACACAAAATTAATTTGATTTAATATATTCATTTAAGCTCTGGGAGCCACTAAGTGACCGCATTAGGCCATGCCAACCGCAGCAGCCGTTGCCCCACTGGCAAGAGCTTAGCATTCAGCTCCATTGCGGTTGCCATTTAGTGTTGCAAGTGTCACAGTGCATGTGGATTTGAATGTGGGTGTGGCCATGTGGCTGCTGGACAATGCAACAGAAACACCACAAATTGCGAAAAACCAGAAATCATTTCTTTTCAAGGCGTAGCATTTGCCTCCTCCATGCATCCTCCATTCTAGTCCATTGATCAATATGGATTTTCATGGCACTCATAATGATATTCCTGTTCATATCTCTTTTCAGGGCATGCGTATGTCGGGCGAGAGCACGGACATAATGCACTTGACGCAGCTGGAGCGGGAGAGTGCGGGTGCTTATGCGTGTGGGGCCACCAACACGGAGGGCGAGACACGCAGCTCGAGTTTGACGCTGAGATTGCAGTGTAAGTAGATCTCTCCTCGAGATTCTTAATATGAAATACTCTAGACACACAGACACCCGCACACACAGATCCATCCATCCAATAAGAGTAAAAGCAACAAGATGAAATAACATGGCGCAGGCCGGAAGCGGAAGCTACAGAATAAAATCAACTTGCAGCCAGAGCGGAGCGCAAATAAAAGTTGCCAACTTTCTGGGGCAGCACAGCGGATGGGGAAATTGCTTAGAAATGATGCATGACCGACCGTCTCCAACTCCATTTGTGTATCTGTATCTCTATGTACCGGGCCCTGTTTACAATTGTTAAAATTTTGTGCTGTTGCCGCTGCCGCTGGCCTTAACAACCGCCATTGATTTACTGACAAAAGTTTTGACTATAAATCCAGCACGCAATTTTTACTCTGGCAACTTTTCCATAAACTCCTTTCCTCAGGGGAGCAGAGCCGCAACAGCACAGCGGCCTTTGGCTATTTTCTGGTGTGATTAATGTGGATATCATAAACCCTTACTACAAGCGATTTGGTTGCATAAACCAGAGAGAAACCTCAGCCCCCCCTCAGCCACGCCCATCGATGAAGAGTGAGCCTTAAATACATCTCATGTTTCCTTCCAAGCACATGAACATGAAATCGCACAATAAAGGACTACGAGTACGTCTTGTTCCGCCCACTCTTTTGTGGGGCAGGCATTCATCGAAGAAATATTGTAAGGAGTTTTGCGTAGCCTTTGTTGCCTGTCTGACGTGGCTTCAACATTTATTGTGTTGTCAACTTACATCTACAACAAAAAAGAAAGCAAGGTCCTATCATAGTCCCCCCACAGTCAGAGCAGAGTCCGGAAAACTGCCACGATTCGTCGGCAATCATCGAACCCAAAAGTCGACAATCTGAAAATGCAGTTCCCCTCTCCATGAGCTATACGACAGTTTAAGTAGTTTATATTTGAAATTATGAAAGTTTCAAGTTTCCGTCGCTGCCAGAGAAAGCAGGAGAGAGAGAGAGCGAGAGCGAGAGAGTCTTTGCTTTGAGTTTTGGGCTTAAGGTAACTTTTCTCCACATTTGCACACAGGCACACAAGCACACCCCTAAGCATACACACACAAGCAACAAGTACACAGATAAAGACAGGGACTTAGACACTGACAGATGGCTTAAGTATTCGACGCTGAAATGCAGTTGACTTGTGATAAAGGAACGTAGTAATAGAGCTTCAAATGCTTATCTGCCTCGGCGTGACTTACATTTTAAAAGCGGCTTTCAGCGCCGAACGAACTCCGCACAGGGATGCTGCTCGAAAGTATTCAAGCGCACAGTGTGGCACACAGACAGAAAATGCCGTGGGCCACTGTGCCACTGCTTCCGCATATCTGCCCTCATTTCCAATGTGAGAAGAGAAGTGAAAGTAAGAGCAGAGTCGACGCGGAGCTGCAGGAGTATTGCTTTCCTCAAAACCACCTGCCACATGGACTTACCCGCTAAGCAACAACAGCGCCAGAAGCTCGAACCCCTCCTCCTCCCTTTCCCTCTCTTTCCCTCGTGAAACGGAAACATGTTAATTACTATGCTCAAGGCTATGTAGCTGTAGCTGCCTCGACTTCCCATCGGATTCCATCCTCATCTTCTTTCTTGTTTCATATTTTTGTGTGTTTTTGCGGCGCCCCCCGAGAGAGAGAGAGAGAGAGAGAGAGAGAGTGAGGGCGGGAGATTGTTTGCTCTCCGAGGGGGTGGCACCCAACAAATTTAAAATGGAAACTTTTTGCTGCCTAACAACCCGGGGAGGGTTTATATACTCGCAGTACATATATATTTATGAAGCTCCATCTCTTTGCAGTCTCCCCGCGCTGTAAGCCAGGCACTGAGCAAACATCCATTGGAGCCATCAACATGCACTCGATACAGGTCAAATGCGAGGTGGATGCCGATCCCCCGGATTCGGTTCGATTCAGCTGGACCTACAACAACACCCGCAACGTGTCCCCGGTAAGTTTTTTGGCAAGTCTCCGGCAACGGGGGCAAAGGTAGAGGTAACTAGTCTCGAACCCAGATAGAACTTACTGTGCCTGTAATTATGCCTGCGAAACGTGCTGCAACTCGAGAACGGACCCCGGGTTGTCGCAATTACTGCCAGGGATAGAAACGAAACAGGAACCAAGTTCGAAGTCGGTTCGGTCCGCCATTAGCAAAACTTGTGCTAAATACTTGAGGGTTGTCTGGTCTGTCTGGTCTGGGATTTCGTTCGACAATGCTCGTTCGAGGCAAAGGCCAACCGGGAATCGGAATCGGAATCAGGCACTGTACGTGACTGAATTAAAATTTAATCAAAATGTATAAATTCGTTCAGTCCGAATCGGGGTGGGGGGGACACAGGGTACGAGTCAGCTCTTTGGTAACATACGTACATTCGAGTATGTATATTAAAATGCAAACCGTTTAGGTGTAAAGCACAAGGACCGACTCCGACTGCAGGACTGCAAAGTTGGCATGAAGGCAAATAGATAGATAGATACTCCTGTAGATATAAGAGCGCGGGAGAGACCCCGGACCGGACCGTGTGTGTGTATGTGTGTATGAATAGCTGACCAAACGAACCGAAAGACATGCATATGCGACTGGGACAGCTGTGCCCAATAAATAAAGTAATTCATTTACCACAAAAGTTATTTGAAAATCTGCACGAAAATCCGTAGAGCCACAGAATGACTTATCCAGTCTCCAACTCGTTTCGTTTGCTTAGCAATAAAAACTTATTTGCCTTCAAATATTTATGCTCGCCTGCCTCCGTTTGGGTGCCTGGGTCCTGGGTTCTGGATTGGGTATGAGCGCTGCATCTGATTCCGCCTACGTCTGCACAAAGGCCACCCCCCCATGCCCCATGAGAGAGCGAAGCCGAGTCGTAGACCACTCTAATCCTTGGGCTTTGGGCCCTTTCTCTCCCTTACAGGTGCTCAACTCGAGGATACAATCGAATGGACTGGCCAGCACGGTGACGTATCTGCCGCAAACCGACTCCGAGTTAATAACGCTTGCCTGCTGGGCCAGCAATGCGGTGGGCCGCCAGACGACGCCCTGTCTGGTGCACATTCTCCCTGCAAGTAAGTAGAGGAAGTTGTTGGCCGAAGATGCCGGCATTTACCTCCATCTTCACCGCAATTTAAACAAGACGCCAGGAATGACGGTGATGGTGATGGTGTCTGTTTGGGTGTTGCTTGGTGCTGGTGCCGGTGTCGGTGTCGGTGTCGGTATCCGTGTCGGTCTGAGTCTATCTCTTATGCACACATAAGGATCTACTTACATAATTGGCGAGTGTATGTGCCGAGAGGGGGGGGGGGCCTTGGCCACTGCAAGCCCTGCCCCTGCTCTGCTCCTGCTGGGCTCTGACTTTGGCCAAAATGTTGCCAAATAATCGTCGGGTTGGACTCCCTGCTATTACGGGGGAGTGCTGCGATGATGCCAAGACTATACCGAATCTGGCTGTTATTAATGCAAACTGAGGGCGTGGCACTGCATCGTGGCCCGCCTGTGCGCATAGTATTTGCTGCAAAAGTGGCGTTTTGAAGGCTGGCAAAATGTGGCTCTCTAACGGGAGAGCTGCTCTTAAATGCAATTACGGGTCTGCGGGCCCATTAAGCCACGGCTTCACTATGACTATGACTAACTGCTATCTGTGACCTCCTCTGTCTCACTGTCTCTGTCTCTGTCTTTTTCTCTCCCCACCGTAGATACGCCGGAGGCACCGAAGGCCTGCGAATTGCGCAACGACACCATTCTGGAGGTTGTCTGTGTGGCTGGCAGCGATGGCGGCCTCTCGCAATACTTCATGCTCGAAGTTGTGGGCGGAGATCTGCTGTACTCCAGCGACTCGTCGACGGGCCTGGGCCTGGGCCAGGGCCAGGGCCGGGGACAGTTTGGCGAGGCCGTTGGCCTGGGCGACAATGAGATATCCACGCTGAACGATCAGGTGAGTGTGCAAGAGTTCCTGTCCCCAATCGAGTTATCCTAAGTTGATAAGTTCTCGTAACGAACCTAACAGGCGCATGCAAAACTGCAAATTGCTCAATTAAATTAAAATTTACTTACAATTCAGCACACAACCGGGGGGCAGAAGCAGAACTAAAACCAGAAACAGAAACAGCAGCTCAACCGAAGAGAGTTTAGAGCACGGGTCCGAACAGCAATAATTCACTTGATATCCATATGGTCAATTTGTGTGCATGTCCTTTGACTTTTCTGCTTGAATTATTAATAAATATTTAGGGGCCAGTAGTCGGTGGGTTGGGATGGGGTCAGTGTGGGTTATGCTGCTACTCAACTCAAGTGTAAAAGGGACAACATAATTAATGACAAGAGTTCCCCCCTCACAAGGCAAAAGCCGAGCCAAAGCCCCGCACTGCAATGACATCTCACTGACCCAGTCCCCTCTCCCTTTCTGGGAGGCAATACCCTTTGTCCCTTTCTGGGCGACCCAGCCGAATGCATGCTGAGCTATTAAATTATCCCTGTCACTCGTAAATGAGAATATCATATGAAAATTTCATTTCGTTTCATTTCGTTTGGTTGCTTTCCGAAACTGGAGTCAGTCCTGGTCCGTGGGCTGTACGGGCAGGATGGTCCGAGGGGTTGGACGGGGGCTTACTGATGAAGCGCTTGCCGGGGCGAGTTTATTAGCAAAGTAGCCAAGCGCAAAGCTCATCAGGACGATGATCACGATGATGATGATGATGTAATGATGATGAGAAGTCCCACTCAGGACTCTGGACAGAGTCTGATCCACGCATTGGTCCGTGGGTTGGCTGCTTTAAAGTTTCATGCTAGATAAAAGGCACACACATCCCCACTCACATCTGTATATGTATACAGAGACCCACAGCCCTACAGCCGCACTGGGGAGGGGAGAAGTGGACACCGTAGAGTGTGGTGTGGCAAGTGGAGAGTGGCGGGGGCGGAAAAGTGCCGCAAGGACAACATAAATTACTTACGCTTACTTGAGTGGGAATTTGTGCGTAACCAACGGAGCTCACTCGATTGTGTCCCATTACGGCAAACGGATATTCAGTTTAAAATTTCAGACACTGTCCCTCCGACTCGGACTCGGACTCTACTCCTGTTCCTCGTGTCCTGTTTCGGTCAGCGTATCCTCCTCTACCGGTACAGTTGTGCTTTTTGCTGTGTGGCTGATTTGATATTTTTTAGGCATGAATAATTATTTATGCGTTGGGTTTCTGTTTTGGGCCCCCCAAAAGTTAAAAATACAAGACATACTTGGCAGAGTCTTCACATAGGAGCTCCTCCATATGGCGGGTAAATTATATATGCGCCCGTTGTCATTCGCATCCCAAGTAGACGTGTACAAATGTATCTGTATCTGTATCTCATTTCAGGCGACATCTGCACCCATCATGCGCATGCAGGAGAACAGTCCACAGTTTCGTTTGAATAATTTAGAGCCGGGACGTGAATATCAATTTTTAGTTTACGCCGTCAACGCCAAAGGACGAAGCGAACCGCCGGTGGTGATTGAGCGCGTACGCGTGGCCGCACAACTGGGACCATATGGTGAGTATTCCCCGAAAAAACAAGAACCAAGACCCGTTGAGAAAACTAAGCAGAAAAAAGAGAGCTGCCAGCCACTCGTACTACTAATCACATAAAGAGTGAAAGAAATGTGCACCCGGTTACAAGTTTGTGGGTCACTTTCTTTTCTGGGGCTTGGCCCGGCCAATAAAATAGCCTGAGAAGGGGCGCCAGATCCCTGAGTCTTTGAATCGGAGCTTGTGTCCCAACCAGCTGGGGACGGAACTGTCTAATTCAACGCTTGACTGCATTTTCAAATCAACGCAAGTTCGGGGAAATCGTCTTCAATCAGCCGCCGCGAAAACTTCGCACATGGCTACCCAGACACACACAAACACACTGACACAAACAGAGCGCAAACCTGGAGGAGCATCTCCTGGATGCCAGAAGTCCTTCTGCCTTCCTGGCTGACAGACAGCCAGACAACCAGCCAGCCAGCCAGCCAGCCAGGCAGGCAGGGGGGTTAGCCTAAAGGATGGGCCGCCCTTTTCTAATCCACTGACTGAGTTATGCAGTGGAGCGTAAAGCATTTCAGCATTTTCCATCAATTCGTTGAGTGGGGCACACGCATATTACGTATACGCAGGGGCGTGCCGCAACAGCCTCTTCATTTTGCCCCAGCCTAACGACATAATGTGACTCGACTCTCTCTCTCTCTCTCTCTGTGTGTATGTGTGTGTGTATGTGTTTCTGGGTGAGTGGCACATGTGTGGCACTGTGTGTGTGAGTGAGTGAGAGCGAAAAAGCGTAAGCGGAATTGCTTCAATTTTCGTTTTGCTTAACGGCCACCGTAGACACTTTTCTTTTATTGTTCCTTTAACATTCTCCATCCGCATTTGCCGTCTCTTTCTCACTCTCTTTTACTTACATACTTTCCTACAGTCTCCCGCACAAATGTGCGTACACCACTACGAATGCCAACCAACAATGCTGTCATTATTTTCATGCTGATTTTTATTTTTATCTGCATTTCCATTACCATTTCCACTGCCATTTGCTGCTGCCTGTCTGCTGCAAGAGGAACCGAACGAAACCAAACCGAGCCGAGCCAGGTTTTTGGTCCATTTTTGGCCATTTTCATTTTCGTTTGTGCGCCGCCCCGTCCCGCCCGTTAACCATAAATCACTCATATTGGCCCGATTTAAAGGCGCTAATTGCGTTTGATACGCAAATGTTCGATTAAATGCGTTTTCGTGCGCTGACCAATCCAATCCGAGATTAGATTCACTGCCGAAACTTAGTTACAGAAAACAGCTGCCGGGAATCAGGGCCCCCAAATACAGTTACTCCCGTATGTTAATGCTCTCGGCGGAGTCCTCTCTCCCTTTGTTTGTCCACGGCTGAACAACACAATGGCGGCTCGTAAATTCAGCCTCTGAGCAGTGGCTGTGATTACGTAGAGCAAGCGCCGGAGACTATGGACTCTATGGATGGCGCCTCTGTCGGGAGGAGGCTGTCCTAATTTATGCGGAATTTTAACAGCTGGCTTTGGCCCAGTGCCTTTTCCTATGCCTATGCCTATTCCTAGTATGACTAGGAACGCAGGCGTTTTTATTTAGGTGAAAACATGGTGCCTGGGGATCCATTCCGATCCCCCCATCACCCCTGCCACATATGTGTGGCGATAAATTCAAGCAAGGTCGGACGAGCAGTAGCTACCTACCTAACAAGATTTTGCAAATAAATAAGATGGAGGCAAATCAGCTGACGCTGATTTAAATCAGTTTACGCAGAACTCATCAGGAGAATTTATTACGCTGTTCCTCGCGGCGAGCCAGGGCAAAGAAAAAGTGAAAAGTTTCAAGCAAAGTGGCCACTTGAGCTGGGAAAAGCATCTCAGCATCGGCCATCAAAGGAGAGCGGTAAAGATCCAACAAATAAATAAGCAAATGCTCTGCTCTGCTCTGCTCTGCCTGTATAATGGAAGTACAAAAAGGTAAACCAAAGCCGAGGATGAGGCTGAGACTGGGACTTGAGCAGAGTAAACTGATTAAAAAACAGGCAGAGATGATGACGAAGATGCCGTGAACCATGGCAGATCCGGGGGGCCAGTGGCAGGGCAAAGGCCAGGCAATAACAAGAGGCAAGAACAAAAATTAAATTGAGCCGCAGGTGTAGGCAATTTCCACTCAAACGCTCACTTCAAAAGCCAAAAGGATGGTCCGTGCCAGGTCTGCCAGGGCCTGGCTGCATGATGTTGGCAATGTTTCAATTCCGGAGCCGTTGCTTTGACGGCCCGCAAATGGAGCGGAAATGTTTCTCTGCCAAGGAAAGAGCACACCAGAGCCTGGCATTAACGAATGTCTGGCATAAATCTTTCCCGGGGATCATCTTACAATCAGTTCGCCTCCCTCTGAGAGGGAGCAGTGGCCTCCGGCTCACTCGCACACACATTATGTTGCAATTTCCGCCTGCTGGAAATCCAATAAATATAAACAATGGCTACTCCCCCGCCTCACATGTGGCTCGTAAAATAATTGCCGCAGATTTTCGTGGCAAGTGGCATCAGCTCTAATCGTCAGTAATAAGCGGCCAAGGGATCAGCTTCGAGTTCTCTTGATTTCCATAATTCCTTATTCCTTATTCTCTTCGTAGTTTTCGTAATTTCAATTTTCAACACAATTTGCCACTGAAGCAAGCTGAAGGCCATGGAACATGGGACATGAGACGTGGGGCGAGGGCGCAAATAAACAATCAGGGCGTGGCATGCAGTCAAAGCAATCAGTTAAGCAACGGAAAACGTAGCGACAGAACAAATAAATAAATAAACGACGAGTGGAGAGGCAAACACAAATCAGCATCCAAATAATTTCGAGCAAATAACAAATCATTGCGAGTCGCCCCAAAAACTATCTGAAGCTTCCCACCTATGGCACACAATCTACGTACGATATAATCTCCTCTATTCCATCTCTTTCCCCAGATGAATCGCTGCCCGACGACCCCACGCCCGCAGAAACCACGCATCATGGAGGCACCGGCCCGGGGGGCAGCAGCAGTGCCGCCGGAGTGGGCACTGGCGCCAGCATAGGCAACGGGCCGGAGAAGCAGTCCACGCTCCTGATACTCGCCGCCACCGTTGTGATAGGCGCCGTCATTGTGACGTCAATTATCGTGGCCGGCATCGTCGTCGTCTGCCGGCACAGGCCGCGGCCACCTGAGCCCCAGGAGGTGCGCAAAAGCATGCGGTGAGTCCTGGTTCTTCTTTCCGATTCCTTGCTTCCAGCGTCTTTCCTTTTGGTTTTTATTTAGCCCGTAGAAAAACTAATAATGAAATTGTTTGCCTCTGGCATCCACTAGTATCTCTCTCCGTCTGTGTGTGTGTGCAGAAATAATTACGAAATTATTTATGTGGAGCACGTGACTGACAGCAGTTCGCTCCTTCTTCCCGAGAATTCCACGGTTATGCTTATTACTGAGAATGTAATGTAATTAAATGACGGCCGGACCGCACCGGGCAGAATGGAGAATGGCAGAAATGGAGGCGCTCAATCAATTTCCAGCAGGCCTCTCCTTCTTTAAACTCGGGGACGAGCACATCAAAGGACGAGCGAATCAGGGGCCGGCTAATGTCAGGTTCATTAAAGACGATCGCCTAAACAGTTTGAGGGGCCAATCGATTAGCGTGGCCATGGGTGGGTGCCAACAAAGGGCACGCACCTGCCCAGTAAATTATGCTTAGTCTGTAATTAAATTAATTAAACCTGCACCTGACGGCCACGACCCACCGGAGGACAGAACCAAACAGAACAGATCCTAGAAAAGGCCAAAGCCAACCCGAACGAAGCACCGAACGAGCACCGGAAGCAAAGGCAGCCGCACAAGTGAAACTTTCCATTTAAGATAGGAAATCAGCGCGGAAGGGTCGTCGGTCGTCTCCCATTGTGGGTGGGTAATTAAGCAGCTGCTTAGCTGTAGCTGTGGCCGTGCGGTGTAGAGCGGTGCCGTGATGTGGCATGGATGGGTTCCGGGTGGCTTCGAACTCTGTCAACTGTCTGCCCGGCTAATGAAAGATAAACATGCAGTATAGCCAGCATGCCTCAGACCTCTTTTGTATCGATGGTGCAGGTTGATGATTGCCCGGATGATGGCATGGCCCGGATCCGGACCCATACACAGACACAGACACAGGCGCTGCTCCAGTTGCGATGATTTTTTTTCTTGAATTTTCCTGCTGCGTCTGCTGATTGCTCAATAATGAATTCAGGCGACCGAACGACCACTTCAAAGCGAAACAAACCAGCGAAATATTAATTATAGTTTCTGAAAATAATCAACCCGCCGCCAGTCACATGCACATCAAAGCGCGACAGCCGCATGCGGGTCATTAAATGGTCATCCCAACTGTCAGACGCCCTTCCTCCTCCTCTCCACCCCTTTACGGATTCCCGTCTTTGCCTGAATAATATTTCAGCATCACCTGCTTGCAGGTTAGCCATGGCTTCCTCTCTCTCTCTCTCCCCCATTGCCTGGTCCCTGCCGACGATTCCCATGTGCGTCTGTGCATAAATTTTAATGATTTGCCTTTTGCGGCAAAAGTATTTGTGCAAATATTTGACGCTTGCGTATGTGTGTACGTGTGTACGTGTGTACGTGTGCCCCGAAAGTCCCGACTGATAAGAGAGTGTGCTCCCTGTAATTAGCGTTCCCAGTGGCAATTGGGGGCTTATATCTAATTTACTACGGACCATCGAGCGGGCTGATTGAAATTAGAAAGTCCCAGCGAGAAATGGAATTATTTTGGCAATATTTATTATTGCAATGCGGTAGATTGCTGGTGGCATAAATTCATTAAATTCCGCTCCAAAGAATTGCAAATAATCCGCATATGCAGTATGCCACGGCCACTAAATAAATTATGTTTTCATTTCCACCATTTTCCACTCCCATTCCCCCGTTCCCCCCTTCGTTGGGAAAGTTTCTGCTGCAGTTACTCCCCAGGTGACTGTCGGCTTTGAATGTTGCTGTTGATATTGAATTTTTGGGTTTCTAGTTTAGTTTTTTTTTTTTTACCAAAGTTTGCTAAGCTGTTTTTCATGCGACATTAAAGCGGGGGCTCTGCCTTGGGAACTATTACCAACTTGCCAGAACCGACGCTCCGGGCAAGGGCGTGCAAACTTTTAATAGATTTTTCTAAATTTCTGTTTTTTTTATACCCTCTCTCCATTTCTGTAGGCCTGCTCGGAACGATGTGCCCAGCATGTACATCGAGGAGGACGAGCTGAATGAGCTGGAGGAAGGCGGCGGTCGAGCGGCTGAGATCCGAGCGCGCGTAACGCCCGTTACCTCGCACCTCTGCGGCGGCGGCGGCGGTGGTGGCGGGGGCGGGCTGATGCCAGGAGTCGGCTCGAGTGGCGGTGCCATTGTGGGCGTGGCTGGGCCACATCACTACATCTCGGAGAGCTTCATCCAGTACGCGCAGCCCAGTCTAAACGGTACTATTCCAAAATCTATACTCAACAAGCTGTAGTTCTAGCTGTAGCTGGTAGCTTAAGTTTTATTTTTACTTTTACTTGTACTTGTAGCTGTAGTCAAGTAGCCATCAATCTATCTGTCCATTCACCTATCTATACATCTATTTTGTATGCATATGTCTGATAATGCATCCCACTTGGTTTGCTCAACGAGTTTTCAGTTTGCAGTGCAGTATGCACTCAATATTAATTTGTATTCGTAGTTTTAGTTGATTGATTTGCTCAATTGAATTTGCTACCATCTGTACATACATACATAGTTCTCCTGCACACACACACACACACACATATTGCCTGTATATACACCATACACACTCTCACACAGAAATACCACATAGACAATCTTTGATTCTTTTTGTTGTTTTGTAGCCAATATGTAGATTAACTTAACATCTCCTATTCGGAATGCAGCCAAACGAAACGAAACAAAATGAAAATGAATAAATGCGAATAGTGAATGCAATTGGAATGCAGAAGTACACACATACTTTTGTTTTGTTTCATCTGACAGACAGTTTGCCCGTCGGTTAGTCTGATATAATTATTATTTATTTGGTTTCATGATTCTGGTTGTATGTACAGGAACTAATTTCGCGTCGAGTATTTGTGCATGCGAGTGGCTCCATTTCGACGGATTTGCACATTTTCCCAAATGATATTGAAGGGGATCTACGTATCTATCAGTTACATATATACGAATTGATTTTTTGGCTTGAGCTGGCGCTAATGATGCGGTCAAATATCGAGTGGGCTGCTAGTTGCCAGCCGGCAACAGACACACATGTAAAATGAATTGAAAAACCAGTTGCCCTTTATTTAGCATCCGCAAAAGTAGCATTTGACACACAATTTTCTAATTAGCGCTGATCAAAGTACAGTATTTCATTTCGTTTCATTTAATTTGAGTTGAATTGAATTGGAATTGGATACGAGTCGCACAGCAATTGGAAGCGATTAGTTCAAGTATTTGGAAAGTTATTTCGCATTAGCAACGGCACCTGAAGTACGAGTATGCTCTCCTCTCAACCCACTAGACGACACAGCGTCCCCCGTAATGCCTCCTCGTAGCGTATAGATCTCTCTCTCTGTCTCTCTCTCTTCTTCCAACACTCCTTCTCCCACTCTAGTATGTATGTATGCCTTTCTCTATCTGAGTATCTTTATAGATATATTGCTCTGTTGCTCCACCACCCCCATAGGTAGCGAAACCCTTTCAACTCACAAGCTGTCCTAATCCTCAACTTGAAGTTGTAAATACCTAGCCCAGTACTTAAACCAATGTAGTCCCCCCAAAAAACATATACGTACAGCATTGGGCAGCAAAGTTTCTCCCTGTAGTAGCTGCTACGATGCGACTAACGAGACTCACTGTGTTCCTGTTATCCTGTTATCCACCCAGGCGATGTGCTCCTACCTTTGCTTGTAACGTCCAGCCAGCCGGGCAATAGCGGCTACCGCCTGGCCTCGCCCGGCGTCTCCACCACCATCTCGAACGTGGTCGTGGCCGTGCCCCAGACCCAGGCCCAGCCTCAGCCAATTGCCACAGCTGCTGCTGCCTGGCCGCCCAAATGTATGCAAAGTAAATTTTATGTAACTAAATCTGTGCAGCAGGCTGAAAGGCAACAGCCCCCACTTAAGCAGAAACTTGCCCAGAAACAGAAACAGAACCAGGCCCAGGCCCAGGAACAGGAACAGAAACATAGCCCGAACCAGAAACAACTGCAGTTGCAGCTGCAACTTCAGGCCCGAACACAGATGGGCTGCCATGTCTAAGCCATGCTGCTGTCCGCTTGGGGCATTGGCTGTCGACAAGAGCTGGAGCTGAATCCCTAAAATATATTTAATGAACCATTCCGAGACCATGGCATAGCTTCATATTTGCTTCATTTCACATTTTAATTTGTCGTCCATTTAGAATCCCAACTTATATTCCTTGTTGCAATGCTGCTTGCCGCTTGCTGCTTGCTGCTGCTGCAACATTCATGCATTCACATGTCGCTCATCCAATTTCCTTTATTACCTTTGTGCATCCGAAACTATTCTGCCAGATTCCTTCCCATGGTTTATCTGCAATGCAAATGAAAGAAAAATTCCAGAGAATTTTCATTCATTTGCTAAATTTAGCAATGATTACTGATGGAGCGCCTTTTGAAAGCTGCAAACCAGAACACTAGTTAGATGAAGGTGTACCGAGATATAAAATAAAAGCTAATTGAAGTTTATGAGTTTTTTGACAGCCATTTTTTGGCCAAAAATTAGACCTGGCCTCTAATGCAGGGGGTGTGGGGGAAATACGAACAATAGCATCAGAGGATGCAGCAGCCAAATATTTTGTTTAAAAAGGATAAATGCTGCAGATCCCAGCTCCAAACAGAGGGGCAAGACGATGACAGTGACGGGCCATGGGGCATGGGGCTGTTTGTGCAGTCTTTGTTTTTCGTTGACATTTGTGTTTATTTCTCTCTATTCTGTCTGCCTCTATCCTCACTTTCCCCCATCCTCCTGCAGTGGCAAGCCTTTTGGACGTTTTGCATAAATTTTTGAAGCGTAGGACACGCCGGGGTAAACAAACATATGTACACGACTCTCTCTCTCTCTCTCTTTGCCTCTGTGTTTGTTTGTGCCTCAGACAGAAACAAATTTAGCAAATATTCTACCGATCCCACTCTCTGTGCCCCTGTGCCGCTCTGCTTGCTGTACGAGCTCATACAGACTTTGTTTTAACTTTGAATTGCATAAATTTTAATTATTTCGAAAGCACTAAATTAAAACACAAAAATAAGCACAAAGGCACACACACACTCGCACTGGCACTCGCAAATAGGAAGCGAGAGAGAGGGAGAGAGACATGTCGACATGCTGGCAAATGCAAATATTATTTAATGGGCATATGTGTCGTATACGTGATATTATTGCTAACACAACATGGGGCCCCACCTCGCATTCAGCCTAGCCCAGCAGCCCCGCAGCCCTGCTGCCCTGCAGCCCTGCGTGGGGTTCGAATGTCACAAATTAGCTAAATTTGATTTTGTCAGCGATTTAATTTTATATTTTCATTACTTTTTCCCCCCGTTTGTCTTCTTTTTTCCTCCGCTTCCGCCTGCCTGACAGCCTCCTTAATTTATGTGTGTGCTCGGGGCATGCGGGGGTCTGACACGACACGAGTCAACACACACACACTCATACATTTGGCTGTCAGGCGGTGTAGCAGGGTGTATGCATATTCGTAGTGCCCTTAGAGCGGTCTTCGTCCCCTCTCTCCACCCAGCAGCACATAAACCAAGTCAACTGGCTTACAAGACCCTAACAAGTGCCCAAGTCAGGCTGAAGTGAACGCAGTAGAACGAGTAGCTGTTACACCAAGACGAAAACTAAAGGAAAACACAGTTTAGGGGCACTTCTCGATGGGGATTACACTGCCCCAGAACGCTGTCCCTGTCCCTGTCGCTGTCAACATCTCCTGTGTCCTGTGTCCCGTGTCCCGTGTCCTGTCACTTGAAGCTGAAATAAGAGCTTGAGTTGCATTTCTGCATTCTCCAGCACCCACATACAAAACATCTTCAAGTATTATGCTATATTTAAATGCATATATTTGTATTTTTCTATTTCAAATGCTTCTTCACCTTTCTGCAAAGTGAAATTGAAATAAAGAGCAGCATACATACCAACTTTCGCCGCTGTAACTCGCGGCGGGGCGGGGCAGGCAAGTGAGCTACTGGAAGGACTGCCATATACTGCCATCCTTCCATCTTGGCAGTGGCTGTCATTAGCCAACATTTTTAATTGCATATGCTAGTCCCTCGTGCCCTCATCCTCTGCTCGCCCGATTCAGGTGCTGCTGGGACCCCCGGCCCACCCCTTGGCTCAGTCAAATTCGTTTGACTTTTTATGCCCCACAGTCGTCCCTGCCACGCAGAGTGTACGAGTGTATGTATGTGTGTGTCTGGGTCTCTGCGTGAGGGATAGAGGGAGATTTTTTGTTTCATCGTTTGCTGTTTTTTTTTTGTGCACATTTGTTTCATTTCATGCTGCTCCATTCATTTTGCTCGGCATCTTTTTTGTCTTATTGTTGGTGTTGTTTGTCTTGCCGTTTGTTCTGTTTGTCTGTGTGCGAGTCAAGAGTCGCGACGTCGACATCCCAGCGTCTGAGCAACATTTGTATAGCCTTCGTCCTTGTGCCATCCCCATCGTGTGTGCCTGTACGTACGAGTATTTGTGTAGTAAGTAATGTGAGTGGGTTGTGTAGGTTGTAGGTTTCTCGTGCACTTCAGCGGCACTCGTCTAATTAGACAAAGTTAAGACCCAGCCACACACACACACACACAGAGAGAGAGAGACAGCCACTCGAAATGAGCACACGGTACCATTTTCTCTGGCCTGGGAGTGCGAGCATTATCTTTAAGATTCCTTAAAGCATCCCTTCAATGGCGGCACACACGCTTTATACTCGCACTTTGATGTCTGTGTCGTCGTAGTCCCGCAAAAAATGCCACAGAATTTGCTTGGGCAACATTGTTTATGTGGCCATACGCACCACACTCTCACCCACATTCTTCCCACTTTTCCTCCTGGAGCCGCAATGTCAAACGGCGTTCATTCATTTGTCGCCTCACTTCCGCTTCCTCTCTTCGCACCACAGTCTTCATAGAGATACACATACTCTGCAAGGAGGTACTATGATGTGGTCTATGCTCAGGAGGAAGCACCTTGGAACCATCTAGAGGTATATTGTACATTTGTACATACATATATTATTGATCAGTTTTAACTCGGATGAGTCTTTGTTGTCATGAAAGTCTGACAATCTTCACAGCTTTCTGTGTAGTTTCTGTTGACAATAGTATCTCCCATAGAATCGATCAATCGGTAAGTGTATTAAAGGCTACTGTTCTTGGTTTTTGTGTTGCTACCACTTTGTTGGATGAGGCCGGGACATCCAGGCTGGCAACATTTTTGCGACTTTTGACATTTTTTAATGCTGTCAGGCATGGCGTGAAAGTAAACGTGAAGGGCCACAACCCACATACACTCGGGGGCCCACACCGGCCACACACACGCATAGTAGGGCTGCCTTAGTTTGTGCGTCTTTATGACTCAAAGACGCCACACAAATGTGACATAAAAGGCGATAATAATAAAATATCACAGGACAGGGTGCTCTCTCTCGCCAAATAACAAACTGCAAAATCGTAAACGACAAGCGGGCTGGCGCTCAGGATTCACTTGTGCCGTAGTCGGACCACAATAAAATGAATTCCGGCATAAATTCCAATGAAATGTGCCATAAAAATTAAGAAATTGTTGAATTATTTTATGTTTACGAGCGCGGTGGGAGGACAGCGGGCAGGGGACGGGTAAGGGCATGGGTATCGGCAGGGACGTTTCCTAGTAAAGTGAATATTAATATTGAAATGTTGTTCTGTTGTTCCGGTTGGTGCTGGTTCCTGGTGCTCGCTCTTGTTGTTTGTGTGTCGTTCGATGTTGCTGCTTTTATTAGTTGTTATTTGTTTTCTTATCAGCGCACAAATGGTCACGCTTTTGATATGTAATCGTAATCGTATTGTGCTAATGGCTCTCTTTTCTTTTGCTGCTCAAATAATAATTTGCAACTGTGTTGTGATGTCATTTTGCAAGAAATATCAACATCCCAAAAACGAAACAAGCCAAAAACTAATCGGTATAAACATTTTGCTTTTGTTTTCCTAACATACACACTCGACCATTTCTCACTCGCATAAATTTACGTCTCTCCCAACCACATTCACACACACACACACACACACACATTCTCAAATACATATGCTTCCCCCATTGCTGTTGATTTTGTTTTATACCAACCTACAAAAGTGTATATTGCAGACCCGGATCTGATATTGCCGCGCGGCGAATTGGAATTTACGACCCTGGATCCCACGCTGAAGTAATTGTAAAAAGTAATAATAAATATCCGCCATAGTGAACAACAGCCACAATAGACACACACACACACACACCCACACACAGAGATACTCTTACAGATCCGCGGTAAGGCCTCATAATTCACGGGCATTTCATTTAACATAGCTGTAAATTTTTAGCATTAAATTTAAATGCATTATCGCAAAAAGGTAAAACGTACTACGTACTGGTATCTGCAAGACGTGCTCGAGGGCATAGGCTATAGGTCTAGGGATAAGCCACCGTTTTGTAATTGTCAGCCATTTAAGTGTCATACGAAACCCAGAATCAAAACCGAAACCGAAATCGAAATACTGCTGCTCTATAAATAGGCTATAAATTTGTAACAAAAATCAAAAGATTCAACTTGTAAATAGTATAGACAACACGACAACCATAGATACCACCCATGCATCTAGAGGGATTCAGAAACGGAAACTGTTGCACCATCAATTGTATATAGAGAACGGGCAAACATTAATCAAACTGCATTTAAATGTTGAATATTAACTGTAATTAATGAACAACTAGTCGATAAGCAATTAGCCAAATAAGCCTTGTGTATTTAAAGTGTAATTAGGACTCCTAGAGCTGGAAATATTGGTAATAATCAATGTAAATGCCAGGGCCACCTCTCTGCCTCGGGGCAATACTCAAACGATGGACAGTGCTCGTGTGTACGAGCTTGCTAATCCAGCAGCCGTTTAAACAGTCTATGTATGTCTGAATAGCGATAGAAAAATCCATTAGTCGTTAATGCCACATCTTGTTACTGGCCAGCAAATTAAAATGTTACCAATGTGTATTTCTGGGCCCCAGGTCCAAGCCATTCCGACTTACTCCGACATTTTTCCGCTCATCTCTGGCTCATCTCTGTACGAGTGTCTGTGGGCCAGTTCCAGATGCTATTTATACCAATTCATGAATATTCTATTACCACCATAACAGGCTGAATCGAAACGGAGATGAATAATCAAGACAGCACCAGAGAAAACACATAGAAAAACCCTAAGTGGGGGCGATGTTCAAAAGGATAATGAATAAATGCCGAATACATGTCGAATGGCAGCATCAAAAGAGCCAGTTACGAGAGCATCGAACCGCAAAAAGAACTACAACAACAGCCTGCAACTATAAAACTGAATTCATTGTAAATGTTATAAATAACTAAGGTAACCGAGCAGAGCAGAGCACAGCGGAGGAGAGGAGAGGATAGCAGAGCGTAGATAATACTCGTTATAAAACTAATAATAATAATTGTAATAATGGTACGGCATACAGTTTACACAATACTCCAATGTAATTCGAATTCTTATTTCAAATATACAACAAGAATAAAAGCGAAATGGCAGACTAGAAAAAATATACAGTGCGTATGCGTAATAAAATAAATTGATATAAATATACATATATATATATATACAGGAAAACAGGGTGGCGGGGCCGCCAGTCCCCACCACCCGTTCTCTGTCTCTGTCACTCTGAACAAAACCAAACTGATTGTTTTTAAGCAAAAGTTAGATATAAAAAAATAAGTAACAAATAAACAAAGGAAAATGAAAATGAAAAGAACAACACAACTACGATAGTGAAATACATTAGATGTAAGTCGAAACTACTGAGTGTGTTAATAATAATAATGAATACTGAATAAATAAACGAAAATTCAAGATAACTAAACATTGAAATTAATTCCAATTACGGCACTCGATGGAACATCAAAGCGAAGATTAATGCCGGAAAATGCCGATGCCGACGCCAACGCCGACGCCGACCCAATCCAGTTTGTCCAACTTTGGCCAAGGGTTAAGTGTTATTAATGCCGAGCAAATCCTGTAGCTGCAGTCCTGATTGCCACTTGAGGCGCGTAATCGAAACATTGCCCAGACGGTGGGTCAATGAAGACCCGCCTTCATTACTCTGTACAAGCATTACTCGCTCCTGCCCCAAAGCCAAGCCCCCTTAGTGCACCTCCTCTCAAAGCCGAGTTACGGCTATTCAGCTATACAGAGAGCTTCAGGGGGAATGGGATTGATGCTGCCAGTGAAAATGGGTGGGTGGCCTGGGAGATTAAAACAGTTCCAGGGAAATTCGACATCGCCAGCGCCAGAGCCAGTGCGAAAGAACAGAGCGGGCAGCCGGGATCCTGGATCTGGGATCCGGCTCCTAAGAAGGCAAAGTTTGCAACGAAACTTTCTCCGAATGCAAGTCTGTTTGCCTTAATTTGTTGCACACCTTTCACAGAGCAGAACTTGTGGAGGATTCTTGTACCATTCAGCTTGTAATCTATTGATAATGGAATTCGGTCCCGAGTCTCCACGAGAACCTTATGAGTTCCCGGACATTATGAGGCCGCAGCTTAATTTGGAAATGTTACTTTGAATCTGCATTGGGGTTTTCGAATCCGAATCCCAATCCTCTGCTGAAGTGCTGTTCTCTGTAATTTGGGTTGGCACGTGCGGATTTACTTTTCACTCTACTTTCCAACTCACCTTCGTTTCTCGCTGTTGCTTTTGTTGTCATTTTTATGGCTGGCTACTGGCAGTTGGCAAGAGCTTTGACTGCAACTTTCTGTGGCAATTGCCAAGGAATTTGAAGTGCCACCAAACCCTAAACGCACTTTGCAGCATCGAAGCTAAAAATAAAGCCACATAAATCCGAAGATTTGCCCTCAAGTGCGCAAATCGAAATGGAATCCCTGGGTCGCTTGCCTCTGCTCCTACTCCTGACCGCGTGCCCTCGTGCCCCGGACAGAGAGTGACTGCTTAGCCCTCAACGTGCTTAAATAAATTAAACGCTGTTCGGTCGACGGGGCCAAATCGCTGGCATTCATAGTGGGCGGGACGGGTAGGGTCGGCCTGTCACTGCTCACGGAGGCATGCTTAGCCCGGACAGGGCTGTTGAAATATTAATGCCACAAGCGAACCAGGCCGGACATGGACATTTCTCGATGCCACTTGCGAGAGATCATAAAAGCCAGTTTGAAATTCAATTAGCAGCTGGACAAGGGCTCCCTGGCTCCCAGGCTCGATGCTCGCTGGGATGTCTTGGTGAAACTCATAACGCCATCCCATCACACTATCGACTGGCATCGATTGAGTGCAGCGATTATTGCGATCGCTCGCTGACAGCTGCAGTTGTAACTGCCACTCGGAGAGGAGGCTGTCGGTGTGCCGGGTGCCTGGTGCCTGGAGCCTGACATTCATGGCTGTCATGCCATAGGAATGCCATCCTTTCGCGCAAGCCTCCAACATTGAGGCGGGGGCTACAGAAATCCGTGCAATGCCATAAAAATGTTGGTTCTCTTTTTTTGTGCCAGCTTGTTTGCGCTTTCCTTGTCATCGTCGGGGGCTCTGGGCAGATGCTGAAATAATGATACCGGCGCCTGCAAAGCGAGCAATCATCTCGAGCGTCGGCTGTGCGCCTACAACGACGAATCTATGCCAAGGACATATGGAGCCTGCCACTATTGTTTTGGCCACGTTTGCGCGGCTGAGTGGTTGTGTGGCTGTGTGCCTGTGTTCTTCTCTGTGTTCGGTTAAAGAGTGCGTTTTTGTTAGTGAATAGAATCCCTGTTTCAATTTAGACATTTTCAACGTTTATTTAGCGACTGCTTTAGACTTAAATCTACGCGGGAACGAGAACTGCGAAACTCTTTAAATGCGAAATGTATGCATTACACTCTTATAATTTGATATTTAATGAAATCAGTTTAAGGCTGCTCCTGTTGCTGCCACCACCACTGCTCCTCCCCCAGCTCCGGTGCTCCTCGATGGCTTATACAATTTTAAAATCGCGACGCTTTTTGTATGCGATGCAATTATTCTCCATTTACAATGCACTCAGCGCGAAAGTAAGCAAACAGACAAACAACGGCTTCAATGGTTGGCTCTTTCAGAAGAGAGGAGGGGGCGGGTAGGGTGCCGCACCGCACCGTACCGTACCAGCGCCCTGCAGTACAGGGTCGCGAAAGCAGACAAGTAAATAAAATTGCAAATAAAGTAAAAATGTTGAAATGCCAAAGAAATGCACGGTACATATTTTACATTTATTCATTCGCTTAGTCTGATTCTGAATCTGCTTCGGCGTCAGCTTCTGCTCCTGCTTCTGCTTTTGTTCCGTGTGCCGTGGCTGTTGCTCTTGGTGTTGTTCCTGCTGCTCCCGCTGCTCCTGGTCCGCCTTCTCTGGTTTTTCCTCCTGCTGCTTTTTGTAATGTTTGAGTACAAAAGCGACGATGGGCGGCATGTCCTCACGCCTGTCGCCTAGTCCTGGTAAGCCGAGCGTTAATAACAACGCTTATCTATGGCATTAGAAGCAGTATACCAAGCAGCAATAGCGGCCACCCACCCCCACAGAACCCCACCCCACCCCACCCCACCCTCACAGCGACAACGACAAAGAATGATAATGAAAAACTGAAATAAAAGCGCAGCGGCAGCGCCAGCAGACAAACAAACAAGCAAACGCAAAAAAATAAGGAAATTTCAAAAAAAGAAACAACCAAACAAAACAGAATGAAGGAGGAGCCCTCGCACCGGGGCCCGGGGTTAGAGGAGCACATAATTTAAGCTGCCGTTACTGCTGCTGCTGCTGCTGCTGCTTGCAACGCTGCTGGCGTGACAACTTCAACTGACAGCCGCAGAGCAGCGCCATCATCCATTATCAGCAGTTGGCCATCTTAAAGTGCAGCACGGGGCAGGATCCACACACGACTCGACTGGGGCATACCCCGGAAGTGGTCCAGGGAGCAGGAGTGCAGCAAGGCCTAATATGCCTTCTTCAACCTCTACTTTTTTACATGGTTTTCCGCCAGCAGCAGTACAGGAAACAAACGAAAAAACGGCGATGTACAGCGGACAACGGGTGGTCACAAGAACAGTGGCAGCAGCAGCATCAGCGTCAGCGACACAAAATGTTGCAATGGCATTGTTTTAATGCATTTGCAGCAACAACGCTAGCAGGGGACGCAGGGTGGATGCGCGGGGCCGAGGCCAGTGACGAGGGCTGATGGCAATGGCAATGGCGGACTGTACGCACTGTATGCCACATTACGTATACGGGCATGGCGAGGCGGCTACTTGCCGCCTGGCTCGCCCGCAGTATTCCCGCATTGCTGCTGGTGCTGATGCTGCTGCTGGTGCTGCTTCTGGTATTGTTTGTGCGACTCGATGGCACTGCCGTGCCCCGAGGAGTCCTTAACTGTGAACGTCACATAATAGCGTTTATTGCTGTCCAACTTTTCCGCTGGCAGTGAAATTAGTTGCTTATTCTTGCCATGTGACAGCTCCAGAGCAACCTTGTGGTTGCAGCGGCTGCCACTGCCACCGCCACCGCCACTGCCGCCCATGCCGGCGGCCCGGCCGCTGGAGGCACGCCCACTGGTGAGTATTTTTGGCAGAAAGAAGCTGCTCACGCTGCCGGTCTTCTTGTACTGTCCAAAGCCGAACTTGGGCATCGTATGGTGATTCATCATGGGAACTGCAATATCAAGATGGGTAGACAGACACATTAGATTAATGATCAAGGGCGATCATTGCCACAACTGGGCACAACGGGGCCCCACTCCGCTCCAGTGCAATGAATTGCCAGCTGCCAGAGCTGACAGAGCTGTCAGAGGCGCCTCCTGTCAGGTGGCGTGGACAACACTCTGCTAAATTGCATGCAATCGTAAAAACTAATAAGAGAATGGAGCAGGGTGCTTCAATTTCACAGCTGGAGCTGATTCTGCTTCTTCTGCTGGTCCTGCTCGTGCTACTCCTGTCTGACACTCGTCGCTCACAACCCATTTTCGTTTGCCGGATCAAAAGCGTTCTCAGCTGGGGATTAGTGTTGCCTCGACTTTCTGCTACTTTCAACAAAATAACAGTATATAAACAGCAGCAGCAGCAGCAGGAAGTGGCAAGAAGGACAGGGAGGGGAGAAGGGAGAAGCCCGGGGCAAACAGACGGGGCACAAATGAATGCGTTTTTAATTTGGCATAAGCCGGACGCATCCTTTTGAAGAATAAAGCATCCATCCACAGAGAACGAGCGAGTGAAAGATGTAATAAAAGTTGAAAGCCAGAAAGCCAGAAAGCCAGAAAGTCGGTGGTCCCGAGGATTTTTTAATTTGCCTCGCACTGAATAAACTGCTCGTAATTAGGATTTATATTTTTATGCCCCCGGCATCTGGGGCATATCTGCTTTGAATTCGAGTGTCCGCCATATCCGCTGCGACCCCACGCTTGACCCACTGCTGGCAGCGAGGGAGAGGCCGAGGAGGCAGTGAAAGTGTTTCCAGCTCCCGGCCAAGCGATTTGACTCGGGAAGTCCCATTCTGAATGCCTTGGACTGGTGCCATTTTTCACGCTTGCACACAGCCGTTTAAAGCCCTCAGGGCTCTCCTCTCAGAAGGAGAAGTGAGAGATAAGAAGCGAGAAGCGAGACACGAGACACGAGACAACAGAGCAATGAGAAGAAGCCTCGTTTTCTCATTCACTTACTGTAGGCGGCACAGGGAATGCCCGTGTAAGCGTGTGCTGCATGGAGGCACCGATGCGTCTTTGTGGTGCACTGTAGAGCCTTCTCGTAGGCATTGTAGTCCGGACTGAGACGTCGCTCCGCCTTCAAGGAAAAGAGAGGAAATGCATGAAAGAGTGTCCACCAAAAGGAAACGGAAAGAAACTGTAGCACACCTCCTCGTAGACGTCGTTGATGTTCTGAAAGTTGTTGGTGCCCGGCTTCTGGAGTCCCTTGAGCGTCTCGTACAGGAAGAGTTCAAAGTTCTTGAACGTGTACTCACTGAAGTTGTAGCGCCGCAGCCTGGTGCCCGTCTCGCCGTTGAGCAACACACACGATTTGTGGTAGTCGTCGACCGCCCGCTTCACGAGGACCGCCTCGTTCAGCTTGCTAGAGCGTATCTGCAGCGACTTGAGCTCCAGCAGATGCTGGAAGATCTTGCGCTCCATGTAATATCTGCGGATGTACATAAGAATGAAAAAGCAATAAAGAACGCTGCCAGCCCCAAAAGAAAAGCGCAGCCAGTGGCACCCTCTGTCCCATCCTTATCTGTCCCAGCCCCGTCAGAATCATCATCAGTATCAGTATCATCCTGGAGCTTTGCGAGCAGCTAGCGCACAAAATAAATGTTGGCAAATGTACGTAAATTGTCATTTTGATATTTCGCGAGGCAAACAAAGACACAGCCGCCTGCTGTGCCCCACAAAGACCTCGAGGAGGTGGTCCGCATCGCCCCCCATTTTAGCCGGCTCAGAGGCCAGAGGCCAGAGGCAGAGGCCCGCCCAGACAATGCGCGAGCGCAATAAAAGGCATCATGTTATTAAAATTTCAAAAAATACTAAAGTGCGTACGCGGAAAAAATTCTATTAATAATTGAGCGGGCAAAAGGCAGAGAGGGAGTACAAGTAAAATTAAAGCCAGCAGCGGGGCTAGGGTGTGCCATAAAATGTTATTAGAAATTATATTAAAAATTAGGCAAATACGAAAGAGAGAGACAGGGTGAGACAGAGAGAGAGTGCATACTCGTTTGAACAGCATATTAAATGGAGGAATGTGCAGCACTCTTTAAGCACTCGAAAGTTGTTCCTTAAAACGTGCTAGGAGGCCGACAACTTTTCCAAATCAACTGGCAGCATCGTCGTCATCGTCCTCAACCGGTTGGCAGAGAAATGCATTTTACCGAAAAAACTAAGCAAATTTGTCGAGTGCACTCGGATCGCCTGCTGCTGCTGCCGTGGAGCGTTTTGAAAATTGTTTATCCAACGAGCGGTAAGCCTTACCGGCTGCCAGCGGAGTCGGAGGCGACCGCTTGACACTGCTCGCCACTTGGCTGCGCTACGCGAATTTGTGCAAAACAATTTGACTTTGAAACAAAAGTTCATTGGTCGCCTCGCCCTCGCCACCGAGTGGGCGGGCAGGGAGAGCTGAGAGGCAGCTAATAAATAGCAAGAGGGCCGCCAAGGTAAGAATGCTTGTGAGCCAAAAACTGCGTAATAAATTGGCCGAGGGCCCAGCGAAATCCCCGGAGCGGCTTCAAAGCGGCCAGCTCTGGGCCCTGGGCCTTGTGCCGCTCTGATGGCCATCCTTCAGCTTCCGCTTGTTTTGCTGCTGCCACTGCTGTTGCCCCCTCTGCTGTTTCGTCCTGTGGTCATCTGCAGCACCATCTTCATCTTCATCACCATCTTTGCACCATCTTTATCTTGGTCGTCATCGTCATCTTCATCGTCATCGCTTGTTTGCCGAAGCGCTTTTCAATTTTACGCCTCGCTTTTGGCTCATCCATTCGGTTGTGCCTGAGTTATTTGCAAGTCTTTCTCTTTGTGCCTGCGCCACCGCCTGTGCAAATACTTTTTGCCATGCTGCTGTCCTTGGCACATTTTTTGCTGCCGCTTCTGCTTCGCACCTCCTGCCTTTCCCTTTTGCTGTTGCTGTCGCTGTCGCTGTCGCTGCCGTCGCTGCTACTGATTTCCGTTTCCGCTTTACGTTCGCTTAGTACAACTTTCATTTCGTTTTCTTGTGCGGCGTTGATTTTGTGTGCTACATTTGCAACTGCAACTGCAAGCGCTTCCAGCGACCGACCAGCACAGATGTCTGTGTGTCCGACGGACCGACTGACAGCCACACCCACGCCCACGCCCCCGCCCCGTTCCCGGCCCAGCCCCAGCCTCAGCCCACGTCTTCCTGTTTGTGACACAAATGTGACAGGCAAAAAGTGCACGCACCACCAAAGTGGATGAAGTGGAAAGCCCGCCAGCGGCAAAGTCAGCACAGTTGATACTGGCAGAGGCTGAGGCTGAGGCAGAGGCACAGCATAGGCATAGTGCTGCTCTGCTCTGCTAGAGCGCTGACAACGCCAGTGACAACAAAATGCAAAGAAATTAAGCGCTGCACAAGTTGCAACAACAGAAACTGCCCGCCCGCCGGCAATTTGTGCGGCACAAATAACAAAAGCGATGCAGAACCTTTTGCCAAGTGTTAATGGTCCGACAAGAGGCGGCTGTGGCATCAGGATGAAGACGAGCACGTGGCCTGCATGCAGCTGCATGGCTGAGCAGGTTTCCAGGCTAGCAGGTGAGAGAATTTTGCCTTAAAATCGATGACCGCCAACCCGCGAAAAGTCTGCGGCTGATTTGAAAGTCGCTTCGCTGTCGACTTCTTGGGTTTCCCAAAAAACTTTTCCGCTTCATTTTTCATTACGGCTATGTTCCTGAGCTCAGGCTTCAAACTTTGGCAAGTGCCGTGGCTGAGAGCAGACCCACTGAGAGCTCTGAGAGCTTTATCGTCTGCCTCTCCAAGTGGCTGAGAATCTCCAAACACTCGAATCCAGAAAAGGGCGAGCCAAACTTTAAGTAAAATAACGTATTTGATTTGCCATATTGCACGTTAATTAAGTCCTGGATAGTTTTGCATAATCAACATTTAAAATCGGCCAGAAAATATGCCTAATTGCGTAACGGCCGGAGGAAGAGAGGGAGGCAGGCAGGAGGGAGGCTATCCACAAGGACAACCGATAAAACTCGGGGCCGAAGCCCCGAAACGAAATCCAAATATTTAACAATGTCAATTACGTGAGCGCACATTATAAATCCCAAATCTCACCTGTGCTGCTGGGACACACAACAGCACACCGACACACCGACACTCCCACACACCCACACACACGCACCGCCGGTAAGTTATTTGTTTAATTTATGCGTCAGATAAAATTTTAATCTCTTTGGAGCCAAAAGCGAGGAGGGAAAATAAAGTTGGGCGAGCAGCAAGACCAGCATTCATACCAGGACCAGGACCAGATCCAGGTCCAGGTCCAAGTCCATGGAAAAACAGCATGCGAATGCAAAATATACGAATGCGAATAAAATGAAAAACAAAATCTCTATTTACACACTTTTCATGGGGAGTGGAGTGGGGGCATATTCTACTGGGAGCTATGGATTGTGGATTCACTTTTTACTTCATTTCAGACCATCGCATCGCATCGCCTTGGCCCCCAAGTAAATTCTATTTGGTTATTTTTTTTCCCTCCAGATTCCTTCTGTGTGTTTTTCAAGAATTAATTGACTCACTCTGTCGACTTGTTGAGGAAGTTGTTCTGGCAAAAGTTGCCGGCTCTGAGAGGCTGGGTCTGGGTCTGGGTCTAGGGCTGGGGCTGCGCTGTGCTGTGCGAGACACTTGTTTGACTTTCGGTTTTCGCGTGCATTGCGTATACGCCGCATGGTGCGTATTTGCCGAAACCTTAACATGGAACGCGAATGGTCTTGTTCTTGGCCTTTCAGCTACACATTTTCTCGTGGCTCTGGTTTCTGGTCTTCTTTCCGGCTTATGCAAACAGCCGAGTTAAATATTTTCATTAGTCAAGTGGAAAGAATTATTTATGAAATGCGCTCGCCGGCCGGATTTTGCTTTTGTTTTTGTTCTGGCAGAGAGTTTCTGTTTCGTTTCTGTTGCTGTTGCTTTTCCTTTTTTCGGTTTGGATGTTTGCAAATTTATTCATGGGCTACAAGGCAGATTAGCAAAATTAATAAAAGTCAGCTTACGCTTTTTAATTAAGTTTTGTGTGTGGCACGGCTTATGCAAATACCATAAATAAATACAATTGACTTTTAAGTTTGAGACTTGAGCGGCGCCCGTGGCTCGTGGCTCGGGGCTTGTGGCACCAGAAGAGCAGCGTGTATTGATTCGCCTCAAACAAATGACAGAAATTCAATTAAACCGAGCACACGAGAGCATACCGGCTCTAGGGCAGAGTTGCTCTGCTCTACGCATCGCTAGTGGCGGCTTATGGCCAATTTCGGGGCCAAAATCCTTGGGGGCACAAAAGGATTTCCGGTACAAGCACGCCAACGAAGAGCGAACACAAATGGTAATTGCCCTGTAGCCTCTTCCCAAAAATTCCCCCGCTAATCTGCACTAATTCCATTTACAATTAGCATTAGCGAGTTGTAAACGGAGCCAGAGACCGGGTTTCTCTTTGGTTTTCACAAGGACTCCAGTTGCAGGCTTTTCTGGCTGGTTCTGGCTCATTTTCATATTTTGTTCAAGTTTCTGCATAAACAAAGCAACACACCGCAGGTGGGCGGTCGGTCGCTTCTTGGGGAGGCGTCTCGTGTCTCGTGTCCCGTGCCCCGTGGCCCGGTTCAGTCCAGTACTGCCGTCCGTGCACCTAATTAAAATGCGCAACTCTTTGCCGGAAATGAGCATTTCGGCTAATGACAAGGGCGGACGAGATTTGGCGGGAATTCGTTCGTTACCATTGAAATTCTCGTAAATCAGGAGGGATATTGCGAGTAGTGAAGTGAAGGCTGGAGGTGGGAGGCTTGGGATGCGATGATGCTTGACGTTGACCTAATTATGATATACGTTTGGCGGTCTCCTCTAATCGTTTGACCCCTTGGCAAAGAATCAAACGGAATACATTCCATTTCGTCTAATTAAGTCGCCCGAAAAAGACATGGAACAGGATAGAATATTATTAAGTACTTGTCACACCGAGACGATGAGGCCAATTAATTTGTCACAGCCACCAGCCATACACACACACTCCGTCTGACCCCCACCTGTTACGGTTAAGCGTTGAGACGGCTGCCGCAATGGGCTTGGGCTCGACCCCGACAGTGGGTCATAGTTCATGCTCAAGTACATGGAAAATGAACATTAATGCCGCGTTTATTGCCTTTAACCGCGTTATAATAACTTTAAAGCGCGCATTTTTATGGAGAACGGAAGCCGGGCAATTTATTTACTGACCAAAGCAGCGCAGGGTAGAGCAACAACAATGGCCGCGAAGGCGAAGGCGGCGCAACGGCTGTATCCCAGCTCGAAACAGAAACCCCAAAATGGGAAGAAATGAGAAATGTTGCCCAGGCTATTAAATCCCAGACTAAATTAACTTTAAGGCGGCCTGGCTTGGCCTGGCCTGGATGGGGCGGCCTCCAGGCAGTTTGATTACATTAAAAGGCCACGGAGCTGAAGTGCGCGCGTGATACAATGCGGAGCGGAGCCACTGGCCCGGGCACTGGGACATTCAAGTTGATTAAAATCAAGCATCAAGTAAATAAATCTAGAGCCGAAAAGGCAGGGCAGCGCAGGACGCGTAGGTCGCCACTAACTGCCTGGAGATTAATTTAAATGAATGAATCCTGCCATCAACCAACTCTCATGGCGAAGCGACAATCTCGGCCACTCACTCACTCACTCACCTTCGGATGTTGCGCTGAATGGACCGCGTGACGGCGGCCATATCGCAGGCGCCCTTGTCGCCGGGCTTACGATTCTCCAGGCGACTGCTGCAGGACCGACCGTCGAGGGTGGCATAGATGGGGCGCCGCGGCATGGCCGTGTGGGCCGACCGCAGGGTGGGAATTTTGCTTCGTTCCGCCCGCGGACTGGGCTCGAAGCCCGAGTCCTGATCCTTGCTGGTCAGGACAGCATTGCCACCACCGTCGCGGGTCTCCTGGGCATTCTTCCAGTTGCTGCGCGTCTTCGCACCGCTGCGCACGCGCTTCTTAAGGCGACGCTTGCGTCCGTTGGCCATCGCATCGTAGACTCCAGTGGCTCCAGTAGCATCACTGGTGGCTGTGGCGCCATCTCCTGCTGCCCCACCCACGCCATGACGATTGCCACTGGTCAGGAAGCGACGCAGAGCACTGTCGTGCTCCGGGTCAATGCCATCGATATCGTCGTCGTCGTACTCCTCCTCATCGTATTCCTCATAGTCGTAGTCCATCTTCTCCAGCTCCGAGGCACTGGGCAGCTTGGTCGCTGAGCTGCCGTCGGCCACCACTTGAAAGACTTGATTGTTGTTGCCGCTGTAGTCGACGCTCCGTCCGGGGCGCGCTGCACGCTCCAGGTCCCCCACGGATTCGTCGCTCTTCAGCACATGGAAGCTCGATTTGCGTTCAGTGGCCAATGGTTCGTCGGAAGCGTTTACTGCGCCCTCAGGGGCTCCAACTGGGTCATCGTCCGCCGAGTCGGAGGGCAGCAGTGTGAACGAACGTCTCGACTCCTGCTCCCGTTGCGGCTGCTCCTGGGACTGGGTGCCGGCTGGAGACTGCGCCGCGACTGGGGCTGGGGTTGGCGCTGGGGCTGGGGCTGGCGCAGGGCGTGGTTGCTGTGCGGTTGGCGGTTTTTTCGGCTCAACCTGCGGCTTGGGTGGCTCTGACGGGGGAATGGTGGAAGCCGTCATCTCCATCTGCTCTCGATTTTTGGCAGCAGATGCTGGTGAAGCTTTTGATATCTCCTCAGCTTTTGGTGGCTCTGGCTCTGGTGGTGCCTCTGCGGTTGTCTGTGGCTTGGGCGTTTCTCCCCCACCACCACTGGCTGGTGGCGGTGTGGGCGTGGCAGGTACAGGGGGTGTTGACTCTTTCTCTGGCACGGGAGTGGGTGGGGATTCTTTTGCCACTTTTTCAGCTTCATCTTTAGGAGCTACATTCTGTTCCTGGTGCTCATCCTTCACCTCTGCTGGCTGCTCTTCGGTGGAGCTCTTGGACTCACTGCTCAAGGCAGTGGCCGCTATTTTGATGACCTGCTCAACCTCCTTGGAGACCAACTGTGTCTCCTCCTCGCTAAGCTGCAGCTTGGCCTCCGGCTCCTGCTTCTGCACCTGCTCGACCTCTGCGGCAGGTAGTTCCTCCGACGACTTAGATGTCAGCTGCTCGGCATCGTGATGGACATCGACTTGTGTCACCACGGACTTGGCCGTCTCTTGCTCCTCATCTGTCAACTCCACGGCATGCGATTCAACCACCTGTAGAGTCTCTGGTTGCACGGACTTCTCGCTCCTGGCGCTCTGGGGCGGCGACTTGATGAAGGTTCTTTCCTTGTTGGCTGTGGACGGTGGCGTTTGGAGTTTGACAGCAGATTGGGGACGATCCTTGGCACTACCCGACCCTTGCTCTCTTGCAATATTTTCTCCATTGACTTCAATCTGCTTCCTCGAACCCTTCACTGGCGATGTGTTGAACTTGTTATCCTCACTGCCATCATCCGCATCGCTATCATGCTGCTCTTTCGATCTTCTGGAAGATGTGGAACGTTTTCGCGACACCACCCGCTCCTTCCGCCGCTTGTGGTAGCAGCAGTTCTCGCAAGAGTCCTCGTCGTCCTCCTCCTCGGCCTCCCAATCGCTGGAGCTGGCATACCGTTCCCTGGACTTGCGGCGTCTGATCTCGATGTTGCTCTTGGAGCGGCACAGATCGCTGCACTTCTCGTGCTTGGACTCGCCACAGCTGCTGGTGCGTCTGCGGAGCTGCCGCCTCTTGTGGCGTCGGCAAACGTGCTTCAGGCGCTGCTCCTTGCGGTAGGTTTCCTCCGCACAGCTACAGTCCCCCTCCTCTTGGCCGTTCCCATTGCCATTACCATTATCCGAATCGGATCGCTTTAGATACACGACATACTTCTTGGAGCTGCGCAGATCTTCGACCTCCTCCTTCTCCACATACTTCAGGGGTCGCACCAGATCGGCAGCGTTGGCTTCGTGGAAGGGATTGCCCCGTCTGGTGGTAAGCTTCACCTTGTTCGAAGGCTGGCCGCCATTCGCCTGCAGGAACTTGGCCGTCGAGCGGTGTCCTCGCTGCAAAGCCCCATCCAAGGGAGTCAGAACCAGGCCCCTGGAGTTGCGGTAGACGGCATTCACATCCCCTCCGTAGTCGAGGAGGAGCTTGCACATGTCCGTGTAGTCGTTGGCAGCCGCAATGTGCAGCAGACTCCTACCATCGTTACTGGTGGTGTTCACCTGCTTGGACCTCTGGGCGAGCAGCCATTCCACGAGCTCCCTCCGACCGGAGGCAGCGGCCTCGTGGAGCGGCAGATCTCCCTTCGCATTCCTGAGCCAGAGGTTCGCTCCTCGCTCTTTGAGCAGCTTCAACGTCTCGAACTGTCCCTTGGCGCAGCCACAGTGGCCGGGCGTGCGTCCCTTGCGATCCTGTCGATTCGGATCCGCCTCCAAGTCCAGCAGACGGGCTGTGGAATCGGCATGGCCCAGGGTCACGGCGTAGTGCAACGCCGTACAGCCGTTAGAGTCGATGAGGTCGGTCGGGGCGCCGCAGAGGCTGATCAACGTATCGATACACTCGGTGTGCCCACGCGAGCCGGCGCAGTGTAGAGCAGTGAGTCCATCTCTGAAAGAACAATATGAGATTTATTACTAGAGCATCTTTGGGGACATGAATCCATTGAACCCACTTATCGGCACTCTCCACACGGGCACCCGCCTTCACCAATGCAATCATCGCCTTGGCCGATCCCGCCGAAGCAGCCCACAGCAGCGGCTGCCGGCCGTCCTTGTCCTGGACATCGACACTGCTCTGGGGATGGGCCAGCAGAATGCCGAGTATCTCTAGGGCCAGTTTACTGGAGTTGGACTGCTGCTGCTTGCTGTCGTAGCTGGCCCCGCACATCTGGGCGGCATAGTGCAACGGAGTCCCGCCATTCACATCCGGCTGGGCGACGTTTGCTCCGGCTGCCAGGACAGCGCGCAGGGACTCCACCTCGCCGCAAACTATGGCAAGATAAGTTAGGGGATAAGTTCATCAAAGTAAACATCAATCATTCTTCGGAGGAACCCGGACACTCACCAGTTGCCCAGTGCACCACCGAGTGACCCTCATTGTCCACCGCATTCACATCGGCTTTGTTCGCTAGCAGCAAATTGACCATGGCCAAATTGCCCTGAATAACAGCCAAGTGAAGCGGCGTGAAGCCATCTTCATCGGCGGACTCCAGCAGCTCGGGGGCTGCGATGGCGATGCTGGCGGCCGCCACGAGGTCTCTTGTCTGTTCCAGGTCCTGCGCGGCACAATAATGCAGCGCGTTCCGATTGCTGCGGTCCCGTTGCCGCAGCAGTTGGGGCTGCAAAAGATGGAAAATGGAAGATATAAGATATAAACGCAGGTAAGATCACTGTAAAGCTTATTAACAGGTTTTCCGGCTCAAAAATTAATTATTCCGCTCAGCATTCACTTGTCGCTAGTTGATGATGGAAAAGCGTTTCCACCTGCGGAGCCGCCAACCGCCTGCAGCCACGGCAGGAGCACCCGATTAATAAACTAATTAAAATGTCATTTGCATATTGCATCAATTTATACTCCCATCCAATGTGGCAGCAGAGCGACATTTGCTTCCGACATGGTCTCTCTATCTCTCTCTCTCTTACCCTTGCGCCGTTTTGCCGATGCCGTTTGGGGCCGGTGTGCTATGTTTGATAGATCGCGTAATTGTGGCGGGCCAAAACCTTAATTGCCAGCAAATATTTTTACAAAAAATACTTTATATATAGGCTTGTTGTTTATTTAACCGGCCAAGTTGTTGTTGGTTGGCCTGATTGGTTGTCCGTCTGCCTGTCTGGCTGCCTGCCTGGTCGGTTGGTTGGTTGGTTGGTTGATTGGCAAAACGAAAGCAATTATTTTTTCCAAACATATCACGCCCCTGGCCAGGAACGACACTCACACGCGTTAAGTGCCGAATGGGAGAAGTACTCGCCAATTAATAATTAAACCATCCAGATACATATATTCACGTTAATCATGTGGAAATTATTACCCAAAAGCAATAAAATAATGTGCTGAATGAAAAACGCGTCCAATAGCCCGCTGTTGGTCAGTAACTAAAGCAACAGCACACAGGCAACAGCACACAGGCAACGGCAAAGGTAATGGTAATGGTAATGGCAACGGCAAAAGGTAAACAGACGGAAAGCGTCGCCTGGAAAGTGCAAGTGTCGGACGCGACGCCTGGAAACGGCCAAAAGCGGGTTGGAAAACGGTTGTTATGGGCAACGTGGTGAGTTACCACTGCACTTGGAGAAACTACTAGTCGATTCTCAAGGATATCGACAGGTGAGTACACCACTCTCCCATTCTCAAATGGGATATGTGTACATTTTTAATGTTGGCTATATTTTCTTTGTATCAAAAACTGCAGTCTGACGGCGATGGTAAGGTGCTTTTTGCTGCTACTTTTCGTTGAGGGCTCACCAGATTTGCGTTTGCATTTTTGGCGCGCAAAATCACGTCAAACTCCAGGGGCAACGAAAACATGTTCGCCGAGCGACCGTTGGAGTCGTCGCCATTTGCCGTGCACTTTTCTGGCGTGTCAAAACATGTCAAGTGCACAAAAAATACTGTCGCCGCCGCCGAAAAGTATGCTAAAACTTTGCCCCGCTGCTGGCAGGAATTCGCAATGCGACGACAGCGACGCGGACAGAGGCAGTGGCAGTGGCAGTGGCAGAGGCAGCACGCAAATGTAAAAGTGAAAATGTTGGCAAATCGTCGAGAATTCACATGACTAAAGAAAGACTGAGGGAGTAAGTGAGTGAGTGGGGGAGTGGATGGGATAAGGAGACGGATAAATAGACCCCTAGAGAGAAGAGAGAGTTTTACCCCCGACTGCCTTTCTCTGACATGCGGGTGGCGCTTATTAGGCTTCCGAACAAACTTTTGATGCGGTCCTGGGCTAAGTTTTGTGCTAATTTCTGGCCTGCTCCTGCGACGCCAGTTCCACTTTCATTTCTCCGTTTCCACATTTTCCCTTTTCCTGCCACTGTTTATCTTTCCGGCTGGAATGAATGATTGACTGTGTTGCTTTTCTAACCAACAATCAATTTCTACAATCATTTCGGGCACGCCGCATTCTATTTATATCAGGCGCCAACTATCGCGTGACTCTCGTAAAACTGTCCTAAAGAATCCCCACCCGCCAACCCACCGACCCACCGCCCATTCTTCGATGGCTGCCCAATTTATTGCAAATTTTATTGTGGGTCGAGCCAGGAGTTCGATGGCTATGAAAACTAAGGCAAAACTCTGCCGAAAAGAACAAGAAACTAAAAGCAAAAGCGTTAAAACTTTCGACTCTTAAGACATTCCGTATTTGCGTGCTGCACAGAACAATGGCATGGCATGGGCGTGCTTACGTCAAGGACTCTGAGGAATACCCTAGTTTGTTCCAGCGCCTCAACAGGTCTGATGTATACCGCATTGCCAACTGGTCCGATATACCCCCAAACTGATTTCTGATTGCCTGTGATCTGGTATTTGACTTTCTGGGGAGTTTGAGAGCCAACATCAATATTTAATGTTTCACTTAATTTGCAGTTGGCATAGGACTCGGGTAATGGTTGGCTTGGCTTTTCCTTTTGGATCCCTCATATTTTGGCCGTTGATTGAATCGAATTTGGTTTTTGCGGCTGTGGCTTCATTTCCCTTTTGTTTGTGCCAAAAAAAACTTTACGTTGCCTGATTTCTTTCGCAGCAGCACCAGCAGCGGTGGGAGGGCAAAATATTTACAATGAAAGATTTTTATTTTCTGCTTCCGCTATCTGTTTTTGGCCCTGGCCCTGGCCCTGGCCCTGGCTATAGCCCCTGTATTGTCCGGGTCTGCTGTTTGTTTCTTATGGCGCGGCGGACCTACGCTGCTGTCCGGATTATGAATAATTCAAATAAACTGAAATGATACCTAAAAACTTTGACAGCCCGGTTGCCCCTTCCTTGTGCCCTTCCTTCGCCTCCTGTTGTGCTGTGTTGTGTTGTGGTGTGGCACAATGAAAAAAGAATGATGAGGCAAGATGGGAGGAGGGGGGCAGCGTCAAATAAAGTTCTCCTGCTGATGCCGCTGCCGCTGCCGCTTGCCGTTCTCTAGCTGCTGCTGCTTTTGTTATTATTATGATGATGGTTGGTGTGATTGTTGCCGCATCGCATTCTCTCTCCCCCATCATCATCATCATCATCATCATCATCATCATCATCGCCATCATCATCAGCATCGGAGACTGGACTTCCAACTTCCCCCATTGCCTGCTTCTGTTGGTGTCATGCAAATTTGCATTCAACTTTCTACATTCACCCAAACACAGAATGAAATGCGATAATCAAATACGACCAACAACCACCACGGGCTCAAAAGGGAACAGCAACAGCAGCTGCTGCTGGCCCCCACCAGGGTCCATAGATAGATAAAACTTTGGCATTGCCAGATCCGAGCCCCAGTAACAGCCTCCCTCCACCCATCCGATTGCCATTCGCCATTCGCTGTTTATGCCATTTTAATAGTTCTTTAAACAAATAAAACGTGCCCTGGCCGCACAAGCAGAAATACAGGAAAACAGAAAAACCAGCAAAAAAAAAAAACAAAAAACAGCAAAAAACAGGAAAAACTCTAGAGGCAATAATACAGATCGAATTGTCATAACCAATGGAAAATATTACCCTGCCAACCGCTGAATGAAACAACATCCTGCTGATGTCGTTTAATCCTTTAAAACGAATGTTCGGAGCTCTTGATTTTCTTTTTTCATTCGCAGATAAAACATATTAAAAATAAAAGAAGAAAAAGAAAAAAAAACTGGGTCATGGTAGCCCTAGCCGCACTTTTAGTTTCAGCAGATTAAGGGCCAAATGAGCTACAAAACAACCCAACACAAAAGGTGAGCATTAAAACCTGGAGGTAGGATTTATGATAGCCATCCAATATCCCACAACCAACTTCCAACATCCAGCAAATGCAGCAACAGTTAGGCCCCCCTCCGTATGGACATAAAACACGAATTTTTACGGCCCTGTCCAGGGCCAATCCTAAGCTGGAATCGGCACGTGTTGTTTCTGCTGCTGCTGCTGCTGCTGCCTTTAGGACCTTCCGGGCATCCGGGCGCACTCTGACAACCAAACTTAAAACTTCCTTTGGGCTTTTTATGCCCAGCAGTCTCCCCGTTGGGGCTTAGGGGGGGAAATCCTCACTCGCATGGTATCCTCGAGAGTTTATGAATTTAGTAAGCCAGCCAGAAAGACAGAGGGAAATAATTTGTATTGGTCTGCCTAAAAAAAGAAAAGATATCCAGTATTTGCATAACTGAAGCGACAACTGTCGTCGTCAAAGGACTTTCAGGATCTGAGAAATCAAAGCCTTCAAAAAAGAGGGCGGCGAAGTGTGAGGATGAGGAAGTCTCTGTTGTGGCCAGTGGTCGCGCTTGTGGCAGGACTTATTATTCATATATCGTAATCCATTAGCATAACAATGAGATGGAAGCTGGTCACAGAAGTCATGAACTCAACTCCTTTGAATATTACGCATACGACGTGAGGACACCCCCCACACCGGAACCAAAGTGAAAGGAGAGACACGAAAAAGAGTATGAGGTTTATTGTTTACTCGGAGGAAGTGCGTACAAATATAAATATAAACATAAAACATAAATAATAATGAATGGAGACGCAGCCGCCACTACAATAACAGCTGAGAGAGCAGCTCCTGGAGCTCCTGGAGCCTGGACTCGGACACAGGACTGGCACAGGACTCTGCACAGGACTCTGCTACATGATAATGCATAAAAAATAAAATACATGCATGGCCTGAAAGCCATGAAAGGGCACAAATGGCAACTGGCATCCGGGAGCGGGTCGGGCTCCCCACAGACCGAAAGTAGGGCCAGAAAGCATAGAGAGCCGAGAATTCGAGTTAACGCTTCGTTGGCCAGCACATCCGCCATAATTATGTGTGACGCGACAGCTGAATGGCACATTAAAAGGTTAGAGCAGGCCGGAGAGAAAGAACAGAGGGAGCACAAGCAGGAGACATGCCTCTGGATAACCCCCGGGGAGTTGCTGGAGCCAAAATACCGGAAACTCTTTTGCAGGCGCCTCGGGGTCGCCCTGTGCTATAGTGTCCTGTCCTGTACTGCTTAAGATGTCAAGTGACCACCACCAGAGGCCACTCACAGACGGCACTCAATGGCAAATTTATGCGGACAATGTGCCATTCATATGTTAATCACATTTACCCGGCCACTGAAGATGTCTTTTAATTAATGTAAGCGGCCAAGTGCACAGGTAGGGCCACAGCCCCAACAGCAGCAACAA